ATGATACTTATTTCTCCAAGACACATTTTTGTTCTGTCTAGACTAAGAGTTCCAGCCACATGAATACCAGAAATACATTTTTTAAAAATTACCCCACACTCACAGACGGAATTGAGACATGTTATCCATTTTTTTCCTGAAGAGCTTGCAGTCCTTGTCACCTATTTTTCTCTTATTTCCATTCGAATGTCTGATTGCCAGGGCCACCTGTGACAGCATTCTCGTGGAAACGTAACACAGCTTCCTGGAGGTTGCTTGAAAGCAGCATGACAGTGGCTCCTTCTGTGCACGGGGTGGTGGCAGTGGGCAAGGTCCTCCTGGATGGCAGGAAAGCTCTGCCTTCCCCAGTTGTTCAGACAGAATTTAGTTCAACACACATTTGGGACCCCATTGACCTGCCAGGCCCTCTGTCTCATGCAGATCCAGGAAGGGACCACATGATCTGGTCATCATGTCACTGTCTCCTGTTCTGACCCCGAACCTCCCTTGGCAGGTGATGGCAGTCCCACCCTGGCAGACAGGGTTGGAGAACACTGTGGGGGAGCCCGTTGTCTCTCAGTCCCACACGTGTTCGTTCTTTGGCAGCTGTTTTAAATGAACGTGTTTCTTCCCTCCCTGGGTCCCATAGGGCATGCACCATTTTTCAAAATCCACTTAGAATGGCACGAGCGGGTCACCTGACTTGCCTGTTTGGGGCTCTGGTTTCTGCCTTTTGGCTCAGTGCCGGTGTCTGTCATCTCAAAATGCTTCTCTTGGCATTTGTTCTTGGCATCAAGAAGGAGCCCACAGGGATTTGGATCATCCCACTCGCCCTCATTCCCCTGCCCGCCCCAAGTCCCTGCTCTCGGTAATTTTGCTTCCTGCTTTACCGAGATCTACATGTGTCTGAGGTTTTCATATGTTATCTTTACTCACAGCACCGCTGCTGCTACAGCTGTCTCTATTCTCCTCACTCTTTCTAGTACAATGAATGTGTTTCTTTCCAAAGGGAAACCAACTTCTCCCTGCCTATCTCAGGGGCCATTCTCTCTTCTCTCATCAGAGTCATCCCCTCCCTCAAAATCTCTCAGCACCTCAGTCCCCGAACTCCCCGTCCAGCTCTTGATCTCTGAGCATAATTAGCTGGAGTCTCCTCCACGCAACAGTGCCAAGTATAGAGGTTCTCCCTCCCGGTAAAGTGTGGTGCCCCACTTTTCTAGATCTTCTCCCATTTCTCTGACTATTCTTCTTCAGTTTCCCTCTTAATTGTGGTCTCAGCTCTTCACTTGTTACACACTGTTCTCACTCACTCATCTATCCAGTCATTCAAGATTTATAGGTGACCTACTCTCTGCCCAGTCCCCATCCAAGGTACAGGAGCACAACAGTGGACAGGACAAACAAGGCCACTTCATAGAGCTTTCCCCTGATGGGAATAGACAGACAAGACACTGGTACAAATATTGGAAGTAAAAATAATTTAGGGTAGTAAGAGAAAATATGAAGAAAAAGAAACAAGGTAATGAGATAGAGAAGCTCCAGGTGGGGAAGGTGGGCGGAAACTGGTTTGGAAAGAGCCCCCAGGCAGTGGACTCTAAAATGAAGTCATTTGAGGCAGGACCTGAATACAAGAAACGAGCCACAGCACGAATAGCAGTCTGGGCATGGGGTGTTTGCTACAAAGGCTCTGTAATGAGGGCAGGGGGACTTGGTAAGTTTGAGGTGCATTTTAAAAATTAAGTGTGGCTGTAACATTGTGGAGAAGGCAGGGAATGGTAGACATGAGTATGAAGAGAGAGCCAGGGTTCGGGGGGGACCTTGTCAGGCTGTAGTGAGGGGTCTAGATTTTATTCATGCGCAGTAAGGTGCCATGGGAGGAAGGCTTTAAGCGAGAAAGATGCATGATTTCACAGAGTGTTCTGGCTACTGTTTGGAGACTGAAATAGATGGTTTCACCCATCAACAGTAAGGAGAAGACAAACAACAAGCTGGTAAAAGTAAAAGTAAAACAAAACAGAACCAAAAAACAACAGCAGGGACTGAGGCCAAACTTGCAGAAATAAAAAAGGAATAACAAAGAGTTTAAATGAGTTAAAAAAAACTCTCCAAACAAGGCCCAATCTACTTCAAGGAAGTTAAGGTGTTTGCAGAAGTGACTGAGAGCCACCACCCACATGCCAGAGAAATGTCAGAACACCGAAAAGAGCAAGTGGGTCTATTTCCAATAGAAGAGAGGCAATTTCATTGTTCCTAAAACCTCCTGTAAAATCCTCAAAGTGACTATTAAAATTTGGGTCAGAAAATACTTATAAAAGAACACTTAAGCACAAATAGAAGTGAGAAGAAATTATGTAAAACTAAGCCAGCTGTTGCTGGGGAGGTGCTGGTGGTGGCTCATTGGTGGCTGAAGTGATGGCTTATAGAATTCTCAGACAGAAAAAGTCTCAGCAACTCTGTGTATTTTGGCAAGGCTTTTAATAAAATCATAGAATCTCAAATATAATTGGAACCTTATCAATAATCTGTTTCAAACTTATATCCTATAGAAGAGTTTCTATTTCTGCAATATCCCAGTAATTGCTTGGATAACAAACTGCTCGAACATAACAAAAGATAATTCGCTTTACCTTGGAATCATTTGAAATACACTGCCAAAAATAAATTTATGTATAAACCAAAGATCCTATCTCTTTTCTCTGAATCATTGTAAGACTAATTCCTGTCACATATGCTCTGTTTGAAATTTTCTGAATGTTCCATGCTATAAACATGGAAATGGGGAGATACGTTGGGATTTTATTTAAGATTGAGCAACCATACCAAAGAAGTCTAACTCACAGCCCATTGTCGAGCTGGTGTGTGGTCTCTACGGTCATGCCAAAGAACTCTTCCTTTTGGTTCTACCTGTTTTTGAAAACCTATGTTTGGATCCCATGGTTGTCAAACCTAGAGATGAAACGAAGCTAGAGAAGATATGTTAGATTACTTAATCTAGATTTCATAAAACTATGAACAGGTTGTGATAATTGGTAGAAACTAATACATTTTTGTAATCCTCACCTGAGGATATGTTTACTGATTTTTGAGAAAGAGGAAGGGGTGGGAGGAGAGAGAGATAGACAGACAGACAGACTGACATTGATTGGTTGTCTCCCATACTCGCCCCAACCTGGATAGAACACACAACCTAGGTATATGCCCTGACGGGAAATTAAACCTGCAACCTTTCGGTGTACAGGACAACACTCCAACCGACTGAGCCACCCAGCCAGGGCAAAACTAGTAAATTTTAACAGCAGTAAATACAGAGTTTCATATTAACTTTTCTAAAATTCCCTGGAACGTACAAAATAACTCTGCAACCCAGATTATGGTCAATTAGGGATTTTAACTGACCATAAGCTCATTATGAGTGAGATATGACTGTAAACGTATTTAAATAGACATACCTTCTAAAGAAACCGTGGCTGTGATTCCCTTGGATTTATGGGAGCCACACCACACGGGGAGCAGTCAGTTCCTGCTGTGGACGTCACTTTGAGAGTCATGCTGACAAACTGAACATTCTCCTGAGAAAATGCTCAGGGTGGTGGGTAAGGGCTGGAAACCACCAGGAAGTCCACCTGAAGAAGCTGAGGAAGCTCAGCCTCAAATAGAAAAACCTGGGGCGGGACATGGGGAAACATGGCTCTTCAAGGAAAATACACTGAGGACCACTTAACGGAGTTCGTGAGTGGAGGAGTGCATTGAATTTAATCGAATGTAGCGGAGAAACTCCCTTAAACCATGAAAGGCACTGACTGACCAAGCAGAAAGCTCTCCCGTCCCTGAAAAAGGTCAAGCCTGTTCATCAGGAATGCTCTTGGGAAAGTCCTACATTGGAAAGAAGGTTGAATTAAATCAACTGCAACTTCTCATCCAAGTCTAACACACTGTGCTTCAAAGGCTGATCTTCAAAACAACACAGTTTATGGCCTGGCGGCTCTCTGTCCAAGAAGAGGATTCTGTCTTGGGGACATTCTGTTGGTCTGTGATACGTGAGGCGGGAGGATTTCCTGTGTGGGGCTCACTTACAGTCAGCTGTTACCCTGACGTGCTTTTTCGGGACACCAGCCAAGCTGCCCCGTTTGGAAAAGGGAGCGGGATGGAACGCGGTCGTGTGGGGTGGGCTGGGCTGGGCTGGGCTGTTCTCGAATTCTCTTTCACTTCAGCTCCAGGCGTTCCTAGCCTGTTACTCAATCTGGGTTCAGGCATCCTTTCCAGAGGAAGCACTGGAGCAGCTGCTGGGACAAGGGAGTCGCTCATATTTGGAAGAAGCTAAACCACAATCTAGCTACTTTTAAACTGAATGAACGAATGAAAGAATGAATGAATGTGATTACCGCAAGAGGGTGTTGCCCCCACGCTCAGCAACACTCTTGCGCTGACCGTCGATTGCCTCACTAGGTGAGGAGGTGAACGCGGGGACGCGTGCACCTCGTCCCTGCCCCACTTCTCCTAAGAAGGAATTATCTTGCTGCATTCAGTGTACTGGCAACCAATTAATCAAGGCTAGACAAAGGCTAGACAAAGACTAGAAAGGGAGACTCGGAGGGGATGGGGCGCGGTCGGGGGAGGCAGGGCGCCAGGAACCCTGTGCATTGCAGATGACGTAATTGCCTGAAAAATATTTGTTCCTCCCCTTCCCGGAGAGGCAGGCGAATGTCTGCGTGGGAGCACGAGTGGGGTTGCCCAGAAGGTGTGAGCTGTGGGAGGAGGTGCCCGCGTGGGGAGAGATGTGGAAAGAGGTGCGGAGATCCGAAAGGGAGGCCTAGAGACAGACTGCCCGCAGGGAAATCGCCCAGGCTGGAGGCGTTTGCACTGCTCCGAGCTCCGCCCCGCGCACAGCGCAGGGCTCGGCCCCGGGAGGGGCACGCCTGCTTGGGGGTGGGGAGTGTGTGCACCAGTGGGTGGGCCTAGGGTGCCGGTGGGAGTGGAGCGTTGCCTGCGCATGTCAAGACCAACTGACCACACACGGTCAGGGGCTCCTGGGGAAGGGTAGCTGGTCACCCACGACCCAGGGTCGGGTCCGTGCAAGATCCAGGGGCGAGCCCCGGGGAAGGGGCCACCCTCCTTTCGACCCCATCCCATCTCTGATCGCCGGCGAGACAGGAACAGCCACCGTCTTCCTGGTCCTTCCAGGCCTCCCAGGGGAGCCAAGGGCGGGTGTAGGCGGCACCGAAGGGACCGAATTTTGTAGCTCCGACGGCCCTGGTGGCTTCGGGTGGCGGGGCACGCCCAGCTAGAGCAGCGGGTCAGGGTGGATGAAGCCGGCGCTCCCGCCTCTTGGTGGATCCTGGTCCGAGCGCAGCTGAACAGCTGTTCCAACAGGAGGTGAGGGGTGGATCAACATGGTCCCCTCCGACAGCCGGACCGCCTAGAACCAGCCGTGCAGAGTGAGCCTTCACCGAGGTGCGACGCCGAGAAGCCGCAGTGCTCCCGGGATTTGAAGTTCGGGGGTGGGCGGGGAAGGTGCTGTCCGCGGTGCTGAGCCCGGAGCCCGCGGCGCGCTCGCACGGAGCGCGCGGGCGCTGCTTCTCGACCGCGGATCCAGGCGGCCTGCTAGGGCAGCTTCCAGCGGAAAGCGCGGCCCACTCGACAGCCCGCAGGGCCTCCCCGAGCACCGGTGTGGGCCCTCCTTCCAGCCAGAAAGTCGCCCCTTGGGGCAGTTCGTCCCGAAGGGTTTCCTCGAAAGCAGCTTAGAGGGCACAGTTCTCGACTGAGGGAATCTTTCTGCTTAGCCCGGGAGGCCACCCGCCTAAGAAGATGCCTGCCTTCAACAGATTGTTTCCCCTGGCTTCCTTCGTGCTCGCCTTCTGGGGTAAGGAACGGCGCCCCGCCGTGCGCGGTGCTCACCGCTACCCTGATAGCAATAATAATGCTAACGCTGAGAACACTTAGTGAGGTCGCTGTGACAAAGAAGGTCCCGGGCTGGCGGCCTTCTGTGGTGCCTGCCAGACGTGGAGCTGCATGGCGTTCCCCGGGAGCTGGGATGCGGAGACTGGCAAACGCCTCCCGACACCCCTGCACCGTTGCTCTACCCCTGAACCGCCTTGGGTGCTTGATTCTTGCACCCCTCCTCCCGTTTGCTGGTTATTCCAAAGTATCCCCCCTAAAAGAGAACGTGGTCACAAAGCATTTCGGTTGTGTTTCTCAGTGAGGAGTGATTTAGGAAATATTATGGAATCTTCAAGTGAATTTCTATATATTAAAAATACCTGGAGGCATGGATTTTGAGACTTAGAATGCTGTAGCTATTGACCCATCAGCTTAATCTTAAGGAATGGGCGGAAAACTGGTTTCAGTCATTTGCTGCTTGTGTGAAGTAAATTAGCATCTAAGATTGCATCTTTCTTCACTGTCTCCCCGCCCTGCAAACATGGGAGCTAAGGTGTTTTGGTGTTTGGGGAGCTGGGTTGCTGCCTCGGAAGATGAATACACTCTTGCTTGTCTGCTGTGAGGGACTGAGGCGACTTCCTCCCTCCAAGTAAGCGAGCCTAAGGGAGCCCTGCAGCTGTGGCAATAGGGGTTAAGCAGAGTGGTATCAGACATGGGTATGGAGTGGGGTGCCTGCCTGGGCAGGGGTAGTTAATGAGGCTACGTGATAATAGCTGAATATGTAGTTGAAAGAATGCTTTACTGTGTATCAGTGTATCCCTCAGTGGCTCAGTATGTGTGCCAGTGTGTGTCTGAGCATGTTAGTATGGATATCTGACTGGACGTGAGAGGATATAGCGGGGTGTGTGTGGATGTCTGTGTGTAGGTAGTTGTGTAATTCTGGGTCCATCTTGGTGTCTCTACTTAGATCCTCAGGGGAAAAATAGGTGCTTTTCAGTTGATATATGGCTTGTACATGATCGGAGTTACCTTCCTCCATACTACAAATTAATAACCAGTAAAATTAGAAGTGATTGTGCCCATCAGCCCTATTGAAACTAAGCATGTGGAGTTACACCCCCATCGTTGTCATGAAACCCACTGTCCCATGCTCATGGAACCTTCCTCTTTGCCTTAGCATCACTTTACTAAGCTTCTAAGACTAACTCTGCCAGCATTATCTGGATGTTGCATGTGACCAGACATGCAAAAGCAAGCTTCCTGTCGAACAAAATGCCTGATAAGACCATCTGGGAAGAATGGGGGTGGGGGAGAAATGCTGGTCCCAAGGACAGACTCGCCACATCTATCCCCGGTAGAAGAAGCTGGACCTGGAGATGAAGCAGACGCTGATCTCAGCTGCCTTAGAGACTTGAGGCTGGTATTTTCTCAGGGGAAGCTAAGACTGGGGACATGGGAGAGGAAGAGGTACAGCAGGGTTGGGCTGAGATTCTATAAGGCCTTTCTTCCCAGATTATAATCTGAATTTTAGGGTCTCTGCCTGAATTCTAGTGGATGGGAAAACATTCCACAGACCAAAGAGCTTTTGACAAGGACTTGCTTGCAAAGTTTAGATTGGAGTCTCAGCTCTGCCACTGCCTTGCTATGTGAAACCTTAGAGAATTTGGTTCCTCATGTGTCAAGTTTGGAAGTTGGTGCTGATGATATCTCACATCCTTTTCAGCTCCACACTGAATGGTACGGAACTATTTACGGAATATTACTAAAATCGGCAGAGTGCTCATTCCCCTTCCTACACTTGCTCTCCCCCCAAAAAAAACACCTGTAGAAGAAGTTGCACATTTCACCCATGTTGCTCATTCTCAGCTTATTTGTAATCTGAACATTGGTTCAACAAACAGGAAAGATGTAGAAGCAAAATAGGGACAGTCCAAGAAACCTGGTCATTAAATGTAAGAGAAAGGGCCTGGCTTCACACATGAAATTTTGTTTCATTTGCATGTAATTTCAGTATTGGAAAGTACTTACCTTAGAGTTTCCTTGCCCACCCTGATTTTTCGTATGATGCAAATATGAATACAAAGAATCTTTTCCATTCTTCTACTGTCTGCATATATTGAAAAAAACTTCCCTTATTTCTTTTAATAAATAATAACAATAACAATAACAATAAAAGAAACAACCCTGCACTTGTCTGGGGCTTTATAATTTACAAAACACCATTACTTTTCCAGCCATTACTTTTTTTGGTCCCCATATCAACCCTATGGAGTAGTCAGGAGAAGTAGTGTTATTTCTAATTCAGAGATGAGAACATGAGCTCAGAAAGGGAAAAAGACTTGCTAGAGAAGTCCTGTGTCCTGATTTGAGTCTTCCAGTGCTTGTTTTAGCACTTCTCACCGACACATTGCTGCTATGCAAAATTGCCAGGTGTTCATCTACCCTCTAATTTCTTTTCTGAACCACCCTTTCTTCCCTTCCCTATGCCATTGCCTTTTCTAGGGCCTCACTCATTCTTCAGCTTCTTGTTCCTTCTCTACTCTGCCTCTCCTGCCTCTCTTGGCCTACTGTCCCAGATGTCCGCCGACAGGAAGTATTTTCCTTGCAACCCACAGTAACCCACCTTGCATCTTGTTCTTTCAAGGCTCTGCTAAGTGACTACCTAATCTGACAAACCAAGTCATTACAGGGTATTAATGTCTGCAAGTAACTTTATTTGTTACTCCTTTTAGGAAGTATTTATATTCTAATCAAAGCATTTATGATCTTAGTGCAAATGGGAAGCATTCTAGAGCAAGCTCAGGAGGGGCAATATAGCAGTGCCCAGAGAAGAGAAAGATTTGGGGGTGTTAGAGGAATTCCTTCAATATACATTACTATCTACCTCATAATAGATGGATGCTATTCCTCAGTTAAATGCAATCATCATAGATATGTCAGCCTTCCTCCTCATAGGTTTCCTTATTGTTTAATGCTATGGAAATTGAAAAGGAGACCAAAGGTCAAGTGATTCATCCAGATTATTCCAGGAACTTGTTATTTATAGTGAGCAATGTGGGGGGAACACCCACCACTCCCACATTGCACCATGCACAGTCTTTTCTTGGACACCTAGAGGAGTTCGAAGAAAGAGAAGCAGGGTGTCCTGGAGACTCATGGGCTGGAGAACCAGACTCACCTCTTGATGGAAGGGGCAGCCGGTCACAGTGCAAAGAACAGGCAAACAGGGCAAGAGGACCTCAAGGCCGCTTTGCAGAATACTGCCCAGGGCTTCGTGAGGGGAGCCTCTGAGGTGCCAACCTGCAGAGAGCAGGGGTCGGCAGGGCTTGCTCTCTGAAGGAAGCTGGGATAATTGCTCCCTCAGGGGCAACACAGGGAAAAGTGGGGCCACCAGGCCATGTTCTCTGCCCCAGCTGCCCATGTTCTGCCTTCCTCCTTTAACTTCAAATGAACTAACTGTGCACCTGTTTAGGGCCAACTCATCTTTTCCACAAGAGCACATCACCTCTCACCTACTCAAGGATATTAATACAGCAGATTGTTCCTTTTCAAACCCCAGCAGCTCCACTACCACCTTCATCCAAGCAAGACTGTTGAACGTCTCTCAGGCTGATCTCTATACCAGCCTCTTAACTGTTACTTTTGCTCTTGCCCTCACTTCCTTGCCTCTTTAGTTTATTCTCAACATAGCAGTCGTATCATGCAATTTTCTGTAGATCAGATCAGTCATTCTTCCACTCAGAGCCCTCTAGTCTCGCCCTGTGACTCCAAGCAAAATCCTAAGTTCTAACCATGTTCTGCAAGCGCTGCCATGATCTGGCCCTGGCTCGTGTTTCCTGTCTTGTCTCCTTCTAGTCTCACCTTGTTCCCTGCACTTCACTGTGCTCTTTGTTTTCCACAAACACACCCTCACCTAGGCCTCTGAGCTGATCTGTCCACTGTTTGGCAAACCTTCACACAGGTAGTCACATACCTTGTTCCTTTGTTTCTTGCCCTCAGCACCTGCTTGCTCTGCCCTTCGCAGTGAGGTGGTCTCAGTGAGGTGGTCTCCAATGATCTTGTGAACTCTCTGTCTCCTCTGTCCTGTTTTGTTTCATCTCACAGCACTTAACTACAATTCAGAGTTGCTTATTCTCTCCCTGTCTCCACTCTAATGTCGGCTCCGTGAGAGCAGAGATGGCTTCAGTGCCGTTCCCTGCTGTATTTTCAATGCTGGCACACAGTAAGCACTCAATATACCTGCTGAGTAGTAGCCAAATTAATGAAGGGTAAAGCAACACTAACGAGTGATACTGGTATAAAGCACACTGGTATCAATTATTCCATAGAATTCTCATGACAAATCTATTAGATAAATATTATTTTCAAACCCAGTCCTTCAGTTGCTAAATACCATCTTTATCTTGCCTCTGTAGTTCCGACCAGACAATCCTTAAGACGTTTTTCTATTCTGCTTTTCAAGACATCATAATCGAACTAACTTATGTTTACCACATCTCACTAAATATGAGCACACACTCTTTACATCTCTATCCACTCCCAAACTTATGAATACACCACACCTCCTTTTTCTTTCTTTCTTTTTTTTTTAAACCAGGACTGTAATCAAGGCTTCTAGCTCATCACAGACCAGTTCTCCCGAGACTTGTGCCCATTGAAGAGATGACCCACACATGAAGCAGGAGAGCCTCTTACCGACTGTTTTAGACTTTCCGTTAGGGCCACTAGTTTATAGACTCTGTGTTTAAAAGTGAAACATGTTGCCTTCTTAGTCAGTGAAATGTGATATTTCATTTTTTATTCAAAGTTAATTGATCAGTCTCATTTTAAGCTCTAAATAAAGCTTTCCTCTGTTTTTAATTTCATTTATTTATTTACTTACTTAGAGGGGAAGAGTAGGAGAGAAATATTGATGTGAGAGAGAAACATTGGTTGGCTGCCTCTTGCAGGCACCTCTCACATGCGCCTCTTGCACATACTGTGACCGGGGACCAAACCCACAGCCTAGGCTTATGCCCTGACCAGGAATTGAACCTATGATCCTTAACGTTGCAGGACGACACCCAACTAAGCCACAGTGGTCAGGATGCTTTCCGCTGCTTTCAGAAACAAGTGTCCGCCAGTAGAGGAGCAGACTACCTATTTACGGAGGACTGGTCTTCAGATGTGAAGGATGTGTGTTGTTTGACAGTTTCAGGGGCTCTGTCTTTATTACGAATTCATGAGAAGGTAGCATCAGATGGGGCCTCGGAGGTCTTGATACAGGAACCCTTGGTGCTCCCTTCACTTGCGAATCTTCTATGCAATGAAGTGCAAACTCTCTTACCAAATAGTCTTTTCGCATTCATTGGTGAACAGCTTCAGCTCCAGAAAATTCTTTTTTTTTAAATTGAGCTAAACTTAATTTCTTGTAACATTTGGACAGAATCTATTTTACCTTCCACAGAGGAGCCTTCGAACGCTTGAAGACAAGTAAGTTCTGGGTCGAGGCTGAGTACCCCACGTCCTCCCACCTGCTCCTCACCAGACAGGGACCCCAGACCCTGTCCGCCCTGCTGCCCTCGGGGCATGCCCTCGCTGACCACCCACTTTTGTAATGGCGGACACCCTAGACTGGTCCTGAAGGTCTGATGTGCTCTGCACAGGGCAGAGGCACGGCTTTCCGTTCTTTCTCACATTTCACCTGCTCACTCAGCCACGTGTGCACTGGCCTTGCTGCCAGCCACAGCCCATCGTGGACTCGCTCTGGATCCGCAGTCTCATGTACTGGCCTCTTCCTTTGGGCTATGCATTTCTAGAGGCAGAAAGTGTGAGTCCAGACCTCTACATGGTATGTGAGTGTCCCCAAGTGCTCCAAGTGTTTAAATTTGTCTCTCTCTACTTCTGCTTAAAGCTGTTCTCCAGCCTCGTGGCCAGTCAGCTCACCACTGTCCTCCTTGCTGCCCCATCTGCCACCATGCATAAGAGTTACCCACACTTTTCTTAACACATACATATAATCACGCCTCTCCATGGCTTTGAAACACTTGACCCCTCACACTGCGAAGCACATGCAGTGGTCTGCACAACATGAGTCCTTTCCACCTCAGGTCCCAGCATCCTTCTTTCTCTCTCCCCAGCCTCAGCAGAAATCACTTCCCCTCCTCTGGGACAAGCAGCCACTAGTCTGTCTCTCACCAGGGCCTGGTTCAGGGACACTTAGGAGGATGTGTCCCCTCCTGGATCACAGCTGTCTATAAGGCACGGCTAGTGTTTTCTCCTCTCTGTATCAGCCGAGCACCAGCCAGGCACAGAGCAGATGCAGTCAGTGGTGCTGGCTGGATAACGGGTGCGTGGCTGGTCAGCGGAAGGATGGCTACAGCCCTGTCTTCCACCCAGATCGGACGCCTTGCCTTCTCGGGCAGGGCTCAGTGTGCACCATGTCTCATGCCCACTGCTTCCTGGGAGACAACCCCTGGGCCTCCTTGATCCCCCTCACTGCCTGATGTGAGCTTGCACACTCGGAGCAGAGGGACAAGTATACACCCCTGTGCGTGATAATTTCAAGAGTATCTCACCATCCTTCCTCCTCTGTCCCTTCTCTCCCTCTTGTTCTCCAATGCCTCCCGCCCGGCGTCCCTTCCCTGCCGCCCGGCCTCTCTGCAGCCAGTGTGTGCTTCCCCGTGTGTGTGGAGGTGCCCTCGGAGACCGAGGCTGTCCAGGGCAACCCCATGAAGCTGCGCTGCATCTCCTGCATGAAGCGGGAGGAGGTGGAGGCCACCACGGTGGTGGAGTGGTTCTACAGGCCCGAGGGCGGCAAAGACTTCCTGGTATGTCTCACTGCTACCCTGACCTCTGTGTTGACTCTGACCTCTGTGTTGCGGACGGGGTTCCCGAGAGGCTAGGAACTGATGATCCGACAAACGCCAGTCCTTTCTCCTCGAAGCAGGGGCAGCCCCTGGGCAGAGAGCCGGCAGCCAGCAGCCTTTGCTCACCCCAGCCTCTGAGAAAGGACGCCCAGCCTGCTGCTCCTGGTCACAGTCCTGGGCACACCAGGAGAGGTAGAAAGAGACAAATCATACTCAAAGCCTACTGTGTGTCAGGCACTTGACTAGGCACTTTGAGGGTTTTCCTTTAATCTTCTACACTTAGTAGATGGATTAAACTAGTAGAAAAATTGGATGCTGTGGCCTGGGCCAGACTGCCCATGAACCCTCTGAGGGGACGAGCTCTGAATGTCAAGTCCAAGGCCAGGGCTTTCAGATGTCCTCATGACTGATGAGCCTGCTTCTGCCTCTCTGCTCCTTGTCCTCTTGCTTGCTCCCCCCGTGGCACTAAGCATCATTATATAAGAGCGCACAGGTTAGCTCACTTAACTCCCCACCCCAGTGAAGCAAGAACTACAGGGATGGCCAAGGCTGGTTATCGGCCGGTACATGCATTGCAGCCACGTTGGCGGGTGAAATGTTTACATAGTTGTGGTGGGTGCTGCCTGTGCCACACTGCCCAGGCGCCCCCCCAACCCTTCCCACTGGGGGCTCCCAAACCTCGCCATGACCTGGGAATGAAAGCAGGGAGCCTCCCAGACTCTGCTCCTGTGCTGGCCAATGTCAATTGTGACTGGTTGGGGCCAGTGCCAAAACAGTTGTGATAAACGTGGACTACCACCCTGGGGACGACCATTATTCACACTTCTACTGTCTGTGGAGCCAGGCTGCCTGCGTGCACAACTGTTAGCTTTGGATGTCCTTGGACAAATCGTTTAACCTCTCTGTGACTCAGTTTACTCATCTCTAAAACGGGGCTATAACCCACAGCTACATGATAGAGTTGTTTCCAGGAATCATGGGCTTTCCCACATTCCTGGAGGCAAGCCCCCTCCACAACGCTTTTCACAAAAACAGCAGCATGTGAAGCTGGTGTTCACATGCTTTTGCCTAGATTTCTCCAAGTACAAGTCGTAGCTGCCACTAGGCTGTATGTGCCACCTGATGTAGGTTTGCGCCAATAAGTCACCAAAAGTGGGACAGGCAGACCTCCCAGTGCTTGGCTCAGGGTTGGCCGTGACTGAGGCCGGCACCCAGGCTTCAGGAACCTGGATGTCTTGGCCAGATGCAAAGGCGCCCCTGGGACTCAGGCCTGGCCATGGTCCAGCTGCCTGCTCTGCTTCCAGGCCAGCCCAAGCTGAGGAGAAAGAGGCTCCCAAGGAGGAAGGGAAACATTTAAAATGGTGCTGCCAACAGAAATGCTAATAGAAATTTTGTGATGATGGTGATGTTCCATATTCCCGCTGTCCGGTAGCCCCTAGCCGCTCGTGGCTATGAAGCACTTAAAATGTGCATAGTGCAACTGAGAAATCGAACTTTAAATTTTATTAATCTTCTAGTAATCTAAAAGTTAATATAAGTAGCCACATGTGGCAGGTGGACACTAGAATGGACAGCACAGCTGTATAGAAAAGAGGTGTGTCGGAAGGTGGAAGTGTTTGAGAAAGGAATTTTAGAGACCGCGTTGTACTTCCAATTCAGCCCAAAGCAAAAACCCTGATGTGTGCCTACCAACCGGAGCTCTCTGCTTCCCCAGGACACGTTAGCACCCTAGACACCCCTCTGTGGCCTGGCCCAGACCACCCCATCCTCTCAGACGGGTCTAGCTCAGATTGTCAAGCTCGAGGCCAGGGCTCTCAGATGTCCTCATGACTAATGAGCCTGCCTCATTTGTCTCTCTCAGTCCACCTCCCCCCCTCCCTGCCCTGGTCTCCTGTATGCTTCTCTCACCTCCTGTGCTCTCTCTCCTTGCTTTGACCTTATGTCCTGACACTGGTTTGCCTGGCTCTGCTCTTGCCCCCTCCCTCCGAGAGCCCTCACCCTCCTGCCACATTCTGGAATCCTTGGGACATCGTCCCCTTTCCTCCTGTGCTGCACGGGCATGCTTCTCTCCCCTGGCCTCGCCCCAGCTCTGCTCTCCTCCCCCTGTCTTCCCTTGGGGCCTTACCCTCTGCTTATCTCCCTCCAGATCTACGAGTATCGGAACGGCCACCAGGAGGTGGAGAGCCCCTTCCTAGGGCGCCTGCAGTGGAACGGAAGCAAGGACTTGCAGGACGTGTCCATCACTGTGCTCAATGTCACACTGAATGACTCGGGTCTCTACACCTGCAACGTGTCCCGGGAGTTTGAGTTTGAGGGTCATCGCCCCTTTGTGAAGACCACACGGCTAATCCCCCTCCGGGTCACCGAGGAGGGTGAGGCTGGGGCACGGGGTCTCCAGGGTCCCTTGCTCCCGCGGGAGGGCGGGCAGTGGGGTTCCACATGGACGAGACCCTTGTAGAGTAGTACAGGTGTATTTTGGAGTGGGGATTTAAAAAAATGTCGCCATTGACTGGTCTCCCTTTAGTGGCCAGGATGCAGGCTGCCCAAGCAGCCTTTTCTCAAAGCAGAAAGGCCTGGTCATGGAGCAGATGACAAATGACCTTGTCCCAGTGTCCTGACTCGCATCCCTACAGACAGAGGACAGCCTCCACGAAGCCTGAAGCTGCCAAGTCAGCCCTGGCATCTTCTCTGGCCTGACTCAGTGGGCTCAGACAAATGCGCCCTCCCACGCGTGAGGTGTGTACATGTACCCCCGAACCAGCAGTGCTCCAACTTCAGTGAGCCTCAACGTCCCCACCGGACGTCCGCAACCCAGCCTTTCTGACTCCGAGAGTGAAGCCCAAGAGTGTGGTGTCTACCAGGCTGCGGGGGTGCTGCCGCCGCGGGGGCTGCGCTGGGAGAACCCCGCTCCAGCCAGAGGCTGGCAGCTTGTGTCAGCAGTCTCTCCGCAGTGACCGCCATCGCACTGGCAGCCCCGCTCCCATCGCTCCCATCATGGCGTCTCTCATACATAACCCCATTCTCCGCTGGGAGAAGGAGAAACATGGACGGCTCTCCAGTTTGTCATTTGAAATCTTCAGCTTTCCGCCAGGAAGGTCCTGGTTACAGTGGGAAGTCCTTTTGCCAACCCGACCCCCACGCTCTGTTGTGACCCCTGTCCAGAGGCCCCCATGCACTGGTTTTGCTCTGCTCTCCACGGGGCTCCAAGCCCCTCGCAAACGTGCCTTTCACATGTCAGAGCCGCAGTAAGTGCATCATCCGTTAGCCGATTCCCTTTCACTTAGTCTCTCCATCTATTTCCAGCACGTTCTCAGCATTACTGCGAACCTCAGGACGCAGTGTGGTGAGCAGGCAAAAGGTGTGGGGTGTGAAAGAAAGAAGAGGTCAAATTAAAGACAGGCCTCTTCCGAGGAAAGGGGTCCCCGGAACACCAGCTTCCGGGCCGCACATTCAGTTTTCATCATGCTTTGTGATAAAATTCATGCAGCAAGCTTGGATGTGAATGACAGAAGTCATGATTTAGGCAACATGACTAAAACACAAAGTAGGTGGATTCGGAAAGTGCAGAAGGACTCCCAGGTCACTGGAATCTAGATGTGAGGAGTCACTACCCACCCGCCTCCCCGCCCCCATCTTCTCTTGGGTAAAATGAAGAGGCTGGACTGCAAGCTCTCTAAGGCATTTTTCTGTTCTCAAGTTCCAATATCCTCTTCTGTTTACACACCAATCCTCCCCAGGGAAGGGCGCCTGGCGCCCTCTATTGTCACCATCAGGAACTCCTGGCTGATGACTGCCAGACACTAGGGAGGGGCCTGTCTCCACCTCCTGCTCTCAGGAGTTTGCCTCCAGAGACCCTTGAGCAGCCAATGGAAAGTATGGCAAAGCTGAGCCAGCGCACAGCAGGCACCAGAGCAAGGCTCGAGTAAAAATAGAAGGAAAACAAGTTTGCTATCAGCCACAGTGCCTCCTGGGATGTTTGGGCTGGGAGGAAGCATGACCCCCCACCGAATCCAGGGCTTTCTCTCTACGCCAGTCTTAGAGGTTGGGGTGCATCTGGCGAAGGCAAGTTGAAATGACTCCTTAGCTGATTGCAGGGTGCCGCGCAGATGCAGCTGGGAGAACGGAGCCCTGGAAGAGGGGCTTCACTGAAGGACAGGAGGTGAATCGGCACCAGAAGCAATCCAGATCCCTCACCTATCAGGCTAGCTGTCTCCACTGCATCCATGCCTGCCATTGCCGCCCTAGCTCCTGACACTTGTACTCGCCTCCCTTTTTTTTTCTGTGACCCCCGGGCAGCCCTCCGACCCCATGCTGACCCTCACTGCTCTCTCCCAGCTCTCAGAGCTTCACCCTGTCCTCCTGCCTGTGCCCTGACAGTCTTCCCGGTGCTCTCTGTTCAAGCTGGCCTCGTCCTGCTCCAGGTTTCCACCTCTTAACTGTGAAACTGAAATCTGAGGCCCCTGCACCTAAAGGTTACTGAACATACTAAGGACAGCTTCCTGTGGCACTACCACTGGGATCCTGCATTTACAAAGAGCGAGTGTGCTTCTGGCTGAGCACACCACCACCTGGCTACTGAGGGCCTGTGAGAAGACACTGGTGTCTGCTGCATTCTGCTGGGCCTCCTGGGCCTCGGGCTGCATCGACGGCCTCTGGCTCCAGTTAGGAAACCTGGAGGGCCCTGGAGCTAGAGGTCATGACCGGCTGCCTGTGCTTTTAAAGAGCAGTGTTGCCGGTGACCTGGGCTATATGAACGCCAAGGACCAGGAGTCTAATTGGCAGGTGGGAGCTGGCAGGGGGAGGCACGGCTGCAGCCCTCCTTCCCACGAGGAAGGAGTATGTGTCGGGACATTTGCCATGCATCATGTTTTAATTGTCATTTTCACTGGTCATGAAACAAAAAAGAGCAATATTTATATTCATTCAACAAACACTTATGGAATATTTTGAATGTTCTGGGATTAGACAACATGCCGATAGTTCCAAAATGAGATGTCCTCAGGAAGCCTGCAGTCTCTAGAGAAGAGAGACCAACACATCACCATACAGCCCGAGAAGTGTTATAGTGGACGGATGCGCGAGGTACCGAGGACGGGTGTGAACAACTGCGAGGGGCGCCAAGGAAGGTTTCCCAACAGCGGGAGCTTCCACGGAGTCCACGAGAGTGATCAGGAGACCAAAAAGCAGGAGGGGATGCTGGGGTGGAGGTAGCAGTGGGATGTGAGATGCAGTCTAGGAAGAGGAGAGAGGAAGAAGAAATGTCCACAGATTCCAAGAGACGGCAGTGTGTACGGGAAGAGAAGTTTCGGTGGGCACCTGAATGGTAATTGGAAGAGAAAGGCTGGATGGCGCATGGCCTTGCAAGCTGTGTAAGTAGAGACGGGGCTTTGGTCTGAGGAAGGGACGGAACACTGAAGGTTTTAAACAGTGAACCGTGGGCTCAGACCTGTGCTTCACAGGCAGAACTTCGAGAGCGATCTGGCTCCCACAAGGAACCCTCCAGTACTCTTCTGTTCGGGTTTACGAGCTGGAGAGGCCCGAGTTTCCAATCCGGACTGGTAGGGAGCACATCCATGTCACGGGGTGGGCTGACTGCATGGGCCACATGTCCATCACTGTCTTCCTAGAGATGCCACTCACCCTGAGCTCAGGTGACACACCAGGTTGAACTGAGTGAGACATATTCCTTACATCTGTGTAGACATTTAAACTTCACAAAATAGTGTTCAATCCATTAGGTAATGTAACAGTGTAAATTATTACCGTCACCTTGTAAATTAAGAAACTTGAGTCTCAAATAAAGAAGATGACTCTTCACGGACCTCTGAATAGTAAGCAGCAAAACTGGGGCCTCACTCTACATCTCTCTCTTGATTCTAGGATTCCTTCCACTGCTTTGCAACTTTTTCCACCCCCATCACTCTCGCTCACCCCTCCCTTCAAACTCCTGATGAAAGTCGATAGGAAAGCCAGCAGACAGGATAGTCAGAGGGCATGAAATTCCTTTGACATCCTCTTGAGGTTTTTTAGACCCAGTGCTGGTTGACGCCACACTCCAAACAGGCTCCACGTAACTCTGACCTCAGTGACAGCCCTGGGTGTACTGGACACACACATTCTGAGCCTCCTTCCCCTCTTGCAGCTGGAGAGGACTTCACCTCCGTCGTCTCAGAGATCATGATGTACATCCTGCTGGTCTTCCTCACCCTGTGGCTGCTCATCGAGATGGTCTACTGCTACCGGAAGGTCTCAAAGGCTGAGGAGGCAGCTCAAGAGAATGCGTAAGTCCAAAGGCGTCAGGATAACAATGGGGAGCGCCTTTCGCGTGCTTGCTCTCACAGGCTAAGCAATTTACACAATCATCTACTTGCCTCACAACAACCTCTGAGGTGTCAGCATCAACATATTCATTTTACAGGTGAGAAAACCAAGCCTGGGAGGGTTTGCCCAAGGCCAGTGTAAGAGGGAGAGCAAGGTTTGAATTCAAGCCTGCAAGCTCTTGGCCTGCATCCTTAACCACTAATGTCAAGCTCATCAGCTGCCACCAATCCCCATGAAATGAGCACTGTTATGACCGTTACACAGATACTGGAGCAGACTTCTCGAGGGCAAGGGGCTCACAGAGGCCGCACAGGTGATGAGAGGGATTTGAGCCTTAGCCTCCCCGTTCCTGATGACCATGCTCTCAGGCCGCCTGCACTGCTCCGAACGACAGGTTCTTCCCCCAGACCTTGGCGGCTCCCAGGAGGAGAGGGGTCTCATTCCCCAGTGTGCAGACGACACCTCAGCCAGTTCTGTCAAGGCCTTCGTCACTGAGGAGTGGGCCTGTGTGGGCAGTAATGGTGTCTGAGGGGTTAGGAGGCCATGCTGGCCTGATACTGGGGGAGAGGAAAGACAGAAAAGAACCCTCAAAGATTTACTAGCAACTAGCAACTTTGCTGAGGTAATAACCTAAACCCCCACACGCTACTGCCACCTAGAGATATTGGATAAAATAAAGCATAATTTGCATGATATCTGTGATCTCAATGAAGAAAAATATGACAGCTGACCAGATACGGGGATAGAAAGAATTGCTCTGCTGGGGGAGGCTGTCACCTCTGGTGACAGGGGGGCTTGGATTTTAGTGCTTGGACAGGAAGGGCCCACATGTGGACAGGCAGTCCTCAGGCTTGGGCTGAAAGTGCCTACAGTCAGGCCTGCACAGGAAACAGAGCTCCGGCTGGGGCCCTCAGGAGATCTGGCAATCCTCAGAGAGCGAGGGCTCACAGCAAGGACAGATCAGAAAACAATCAGTCCACCGACCCAGAGAGAAACCAAAGCAACTTACGTATCTTGGCCTAAGTCCAGGTAGGAAAAAAAAGATTATTGAGAATTAGTAACCACAAGCCTGCTCTCACAATGTTTGGGATTTAAATTTAGACGACCAAGATGATCCAGGAACCTCAAAGCTGAGAAATTCAATCACTTTAAAAAAAGAGTCCCCAGCCAGTGATAGCCACGTAGAAGCAAGTGAAGAACCGTTCTGCAGGGTCCACCCTGGCCTGAGGTTGAACAGGACTAAGCAACATCAAGTCTGATTTCACAGTCAGATCCAAACTAAAAGACAGAGCAGGAAACCATGCAACATGAGCACGAGGCAGGATTAAACCTGAGAAACTTCAGGCACAAGAAGGACCTAATAGAATATAGAAAGTTTGTTTAAAAGAGCTGAAGCAATAAAAGAAGGAACCAAAGTCTCCTTCTTTTGGTTGCTAAGAAATAAGAATAGAGTAAGTTGCTAAGAAAACAGGCAGATTTGAATAGAAATTAAAAAAACACTGGAAATGGAGGATACAGGTGGGAGGTGCCAGAAGGCCCTGTAGGGAAAACTGTACTGAACCTGCCCCTCCCTTGGCACCGATTACTCCTGGGAGACAACTGAGGGCTGAATCGAGGCTTCTGAACAACAAACAAAAGAAAGAGACCCAGCAGGGCATGTTGGGAATGGGAGGGAGCCCTGTGGGGACTTTCTGGGCCAAAGGAGCAGGGAATGAGCGCCATTGTCTACACACCCCTCCACTTCCTTTGGGCAGGTAGGAGTTCTGTGGCCCACCCGCAAGAGCCCCTCCATTTCTGGGAGCAAGTGGAACAACAGGGCTTCCCCACAAGCACCGGGCCTCCCTTTGGGGAGCCACTCCAGTCTGTGGGAGCTCAACCTGGCTCCACCGGGCACACACAAAGCCACTCGCTGCGAAACAAACGAGAGAGAACTTGTATAGAGAATGCAGGGAGACGCAGGAGCTTGGACACTGCGGGAGTGCTCCAGGGCCAGGTGCCCCTGAGTGCCATGGTTTACTCCCCCCACCTCTGCAGAGGGTTTGTGGGGCTCTATCCAGGTGTTCTGGCCTACCTGCAAGGTTGCTGCAGTGCATACAGGCACCCATCACTGAAGCCCACTTGGGCCCTGAGGGAGCAACTAGAATCAACAAGACAACATTATGTGTGCCCGGCCTCCCCACCTGGACACCTTAAGCACCCGATGGGCCCCAGCCAGCCTGGCAGAGCTTCCTGGCACGTACAGCCTACATGGAGGCTGCTTTTTCAAGGTGTGGAGAGAGAAATTTTGTATGATTCATATAAACAGAAAGCCAAACAAAATGATGAGACAGAAGCATATCTCTCAAATGAAGAAAGGAGAAATTTCCAGAAAGAAACCATAAGAAAATCAGAGATAATTTGCCTGATAAAGAATTAAAAGAAACTTGAGTGTGAACTAGAAGAATTTAGAGAGAACTTCAACAAAGAGTTAGAAAGTATAATAAAGAACCGAGCAGAGCTGAATGAGAGAAGATATTCACCAATGATACACCCAATAAGGGGTTGACATCCAACATACAGGATGGGGCAAACATAGGTTTAAAGTTGTTGGACTGGAAAATAATAGAATCATTAATAAATAATAATGCAAGAATAAACTCTGTTTTTCCATACTCACAACTGTACACCTACTTTTGCCCCACTCTATATATAAAGAACACACACAACTTAACATCAAAAAAAGAAACTACTCAATTTAAAAATGAGCAAAGGACATGGATAGACACCTCTCCAAAGAGGACATACAGATGGTCCATAGACATATGAAAAGATGCTCAACATCACTAATTGTCAGAGAGATGCAAATTAAAACCACAGTGAGACATCACCTCTCACCTGTCAGAATGGCCATCATTAATATATCAAGAAACAACAAGTGCTGGTGAGGATGTGGAGGAAAGGGATCCCTCATGTACTGTTGCAATTGTAAATCACAGCAGCCACAACAGAGAGTCTCCAAAAAATTAAAAATTACAGGTGCCATCCAAACCAGTAATTCCACTTCTGGGTATTTATAAAAAACAACCCCCCAAAACCCACTGACTCAAAGATATATGCACCCTATGTTCATTGCAGCATTACTAGTAATAGCCAAGGTATGGAAGCAGCCTGGATGACCATCTACAGATGAATGGATAAAGAAATTATATCATATATAATGGAATATAGTCAGCAATAAAAAACAACTAAATCTTGCCATTTGTGACAATATGGATGGGCCTAGAGAGTATTACATTAAGTGAAATAAGTCAGACTGATTAAGTCAAATGCCATATGATTTCACTTATTATATATGTGGAATATAAAAAAAAACAAATGAATAAACAAAACAAAAGATCTATAGATATACATAGATATGTATTTTTGCCAAAGGGGATGGTGGTGGGGGAATGGAAATAAAAAGAAATAAAATTAAAATAAATGGTGACAACATTAAATGCTGGGAAAAAGAAGGAGAAGAATTAAGAATAAGAAGAGAAGATCTTGCCGGTGTGGCTCAGTGAATTGAGCGCCAAGAACCAAAGGGCTGTAGGTTCAATTCCTAGTCAGGGCACATACCTGGGTTGAAGGGCAGATCCCCAGTCAGGGGCACTCGAGAGGCAACTATGCATTGATGCTTCTCTCCCTCTCCTCTCTCCCTTTCTTTAAAAAGTAAATAAATAAAATCTTTTTCAAAAAGATTTTATTTATTCATCTTTAGAGGGGAAGGGAAGGAGAGAGAGAGAGAGAAACATCAATGTATGGTTGCCTGTCATGCATCCCCCCACTGGGAACTGGCCTGCAACCCATGCATGTGCCCTGACTGGGAATCGAACCATGATCTTCTGGTTCGCAGCCCCGCACTCAGTCACCTGAGCCACACCACCAAGGGCTAAATAAAATTTTTTTTTAAAAAAAGAAAAAGAAACTGGAGTTAAGTGAGGGCAAGTGACATTGCCAAGGTCACCATGAACTGGGGCATGGTCCATCTCCTCTCCAGGTTCTCCTGGCTTCACACGGCCCCTCCAGGGGATTTAAAGCAGTTGATTTTCATGGATAGCGATTGATGGCAGTGACTCATCGGCACAGGAAAGTAGTCAGACTTGGCCTTGCTCTGTCTTCCTCCTAAATCACACCCAGCCCTGGGGCTTTTCTACCTCACCTGCTCTTATCTACCAAGTGGTCTGCAATCCTCAGCCTTAAAAACAGAAAATTCTTTATTTGCACAAAAAGTCCCTAGGGTCTGAGAGGCCAGTATCTGTCTCTCCACAGTGACAGAGCATAGAGGGTGGTCGGTAAGAGCTCGGCGTCAGGAAGCAGTAAGGAAAAGGTGGAGCAGCCTGGAGAGCAGTGAGGCCTTGGGCCTCCAGGTCTGGCAGGAAGTGCCCAAAACTGTATTTACATGTACTTGTATATACAGTCAATAAAATTTAAGACACAATGGCTTGGCTCACCAGATACTGATAACCAGAAAATAAATGTAAAGGTGTTACACAGAAGGAAGACTAGAGGTATAAAAAGACAAAATATTACAAAGAAACATGAAGAAAAAAGGGAGAAAAATCCATTAAAACAGAACAGGGGGAAAGGAGAAGCACTACGCTGACCTGTGGCTAAGGCAAGGCAGGACTCTTCAGACTTAGGAAGCACAGCACATTCTGAGCAGGGCAAACACACAGAAATCTAGACCTGCACAGCGTCTTTCAGCCAGTAAATGGCAGCTGCCAAGCTAACCTACAGTAAGTATCATCTGTGGGTTACAGCTTCAGAAGAACTGCCTATAATATCAAGAACATGTCAAGGATACGCTCTCTCCCTGCTCTCTTCAATATTGGAGATCCTAGGCTGTGGACTAAAAAAAAAGAGTAGGAATTGGAAAGAAACAAACAAAATTATCATTATTCATACCATGATTCCCAACATAAAAAATCTAAGGGAATATAGAGTCGGCAAACTATTAGAACTAGTAAGAACATTCCACAAGTTTGTTGATATACATAAAAATATAGGGCCCTGGTTGGTGTAGCTCAGTGGACTGAGCGAGGGCTGCAAACCAAATGGTCACTGGTTCAATACCCAATCAGGGCACATGCCTGGGTTGTGAGCCAGGTCCCCAGTGAGGGGGTGTGTGAGAGGCAACCACACATTGATGTTTCCCTCCCTCTCTTTCTCCCCCCTTTCCCCTCTCTCTAAAAATAAATAAATAAAACTTTGAAAAATTTTAAAAAATATAAAAACACCCGTATTCCAGCCAGAAAAGTTTAAAAAAGCATTGACATATTTAAAGCATTAAAATTTGCTCGACTATTTTTTAATGCATTCCTTTTTTACTATTTTTATTTATTAATTTTTTAGAGAAAGGGGAAGGGAATGAGAAAGAGAGGGAGAGAAACATCAATGTGTGGTTGCCCCTTGTGCGCCCCCAAATGGGGACCCAGCCTGCAACACAGGCGTGTGCCCTGACTGGAAATCGAACCAGCGACCCTTTGGTTCTCAGACATACACTCAATCCACTGAGCCACACCAGCCAGGTGTTCGATTATAATAGCAGTAAATACTCTCCAGAACCTGGGGATAAATTTGATAAAAATGTGCAAGACCTTTAAGGATAAAATTACAAAGTTTTACCCAAGGAATTAAAAAAGGAATGAAGAATAAAACGTTACTGTTACAAACATAGCAGTTCGCCCCAAAATTAATCTGAAATTTTAATTAAATTCCAATCAAAATATTTATTGAATGGTTTGAGGAACTAGATAAGCTGATAATAAAAGTCACGTGGAAGGCCAAAAGGCCAAAATTAGTCCAAACCAAGGGGCAGCCAGATATTTTAGGCTACACAGAGTCTCTTGCATATTATTCTTTGGTTTTGCTTTTTTGCTTGCAACCTTTTAAACAAGTAACAACCATTCTTAGCCCATGGGCCATAGTTTGCTGATTTCAAAGAAAGAACAGGAAGTTTGGAGGAAGTGGCTGGTAGGACTTTTTCCTGTTGGATGTGAAGATTTCCTTATAGCACCATCAGAGTAAGGAGTCTGTGATACAGATGCAGGCATACGACACAGGTAAACAGAACAAAACAGAGAGCCCTCAAATACGTTAATACGTGTATAAACACCAGTGTGTGGCAGACACGGCAGTGCGGTCACTGAAGGAAGGATGAACTGTCTGATCATTGCTATGGGGACAATTACCTACCCACATGGAAAAGAAATTACACCCACCCTCTCTCACACCACCCAGAATGCATTGTGAGTGGACTTAAACTAAAATGCACAACCTAAAAGTTCTATTAAGGGAATATAAGAGAATATCTTTATCTTCTTGGAATCAAGAGGACTTCTTCAAAAACAAAGCAAAAGAGGAAAAACCATAATTGTGATTATACTATACACAAGGGTGGGCAAGAGTAGGTAAATAATAATAATACAATAATTAATAATAATGCAAGAATTGTGTTTTACATACTCACAACTATGAACCTACTTATGCCAATCCCTATACATCAAAATTAAGTTTTCATTATAAGATCCCTAAGCATAGTTTAGAGATAAACAGACTGGAAGAAGATATTTTCAAGATATGCAATCAAGGAGAAAAAGGCTAAGAAGAAAAATTAGTAAAGCAAATGAAAAAATTATAGAAGTAGAAACCAAAATAGCCTGTAAACTTATAAAAAAAAATGTTCAACTTCACCAGTAATCAAGAAAGTGAGCATTAAGGCAACTATAAAATATAATTTCACCTATTAGGTAGGCCAACACTTTAATCTAGCAATACTAAGTCCTGAGAACAATGTGGATAAATGAGCAGACTGCTGGTGGAAGTAAAACACAAATAAACACACGAACAAAAAACTCCTATTATTCCAGTCCCCTGAAAGAGCCGCCCTAGTTTCCTGTTGGGAAACCCAGCCGGAAGGAAATGCAGAGCTGTCCCGTAGACATCCTAGCTCCTGTGCCCTTGCTCCTTCCCTTTCCTTGCGCCCCCACCTCTGGGTACAAGGTACTGATTCTCTTCCCCATTTGTCCTCCCGCAGGTCTGACTACCTTGCCATCCCATCAGAGAACAAAGAGAACTCTGTGGTGCCAGTAGAGGAATAGAAGGGGTGTGACTCGAGGTGATGTACAGGAAAGGGGACGGGAAGATGGATGAGGATGGCAGGTTGTGCAAGTGACAAGTCACCCATTATCAAGTGACTTTAAATTTAGCCCCTTAGATTAATTTCTACCCTACCCAAGTCCCCAGCCTCAGGACCCTTCTTTAAGTTGATGCCAAATTGCAAGCTCTGTGTGTTGTCAAGCCTTCAGAAGGTGAATTGCTTTGGCCTGAGTGTTGGGGCAACTTCAACTCCTTACCCGTAGTGATAAAGGCATAGTAATCCCCCCTGCCCTTTGTAAGGATCGTGGATTTGGTCAGAGTCTTCGGCTCGGCTGGGCTGGACTGGAAGTTCTCAGTGAGTTGTTTTATCATTGACAGGTGACTGGAGCCCTGAGGGACTGGACACCCCAGGTGTGGTGATGTCCACAGCCTCAGGAGGCACTGCAGAGGCCACACTGCTTCCCTTCGTGCATTCACCCTTTAGTTTACACATCACACGTCCACTCACCACTGACCCCCTAACTGCATCTGACCTCGACACACCTGAGGACTTTGCCAGAATGGAGGAACCAACATTTCTACAGACTCAACCTCTGCTCATCTTAGCTTTTGAGCAAGCAGCATCCATGCCCCGCAGACTTCTCCCCTGTGCTCCAAATGACTTTGCACGAGTGCTAGAGGCGACACGCTCCTCTGTCTGTTGCTGTCTGGAACCGGCTCATTCTCTGCTGCTGCAAGTGAATGGATCTTCTTAGTGGAAGGAAGCAGGAGTGATTAGGTTAAACCAAAGGAGCGTCATGAAGTGGAATGTTTTGACGTCAGTTTTTTTCCAAGGCTTTGAAAACCCTAGTAGAGTATCAGAGCAAAACATGCTTTTCTAGGTTCTCTACTGATAGAAAGTCTGTTCAGTATAGGCTAAAATGTTCTCTGGAGCTTGGTACTTCAGGGTTAGAACCACTATGTCTCTAAGGCCTGGGTAAGTCTCAGTCCTTCAAGAAGCCAAGGACAAGAGACTCAGGAGGGATTCAGCAGTTTAAGTGGCTTTTGAAAGTCACACAACACATTCATGATCCTACTGGTATGTATGTATCCTCCCCCACCCAAAGTGAACACAGCCCTTGAGATGGCTGGGAAGCGTTGTCTTCCGGAGGGCACTGGAACTGAAATTCCTAAATTCTTCCTCGCAGAATCTTGTGGGGATTATTACTCATGTCACAGGAGTCAGCTAAGGCTCAGAGCTCAACTGGACTTCAGAGGATAAACTAGAGCAGATACAAACCTTAGGTGTTGCCCAGGTTAAACTTCCCAAGATGGGTAATTTTGATTTTGAAGACTTTGAAATTAAGATTGGCTATGGCCATGCCTCTTCCACAAGCATACATTGAGTGGATTGCCTGGCTGAGGTTAACTCTGAGTCTGGTAGCTAGAGGTTGGCTGAAAAGGCAGAGAGAAAGACATGAAGTAGACTTGAAGAACTTCCTCAGCAAAGGGATTTGTGAGGCTGGAACATCCTGCGGAAGAAAGCATCTTGGAATGATATTTATGAAACGGGGATGATAAGCAAATGAACGAAGTAATCAGGGAGGGATGGGCTAGGTAGCTTTGAAATAGTTCACCTGTGAACCCATAATGTCCAAGGTTTGTTTTTACTAGATTTGGGGAGAGCAGATGAACACTAGATAAATTTTAGTCAAAATCTCCTGTTTCATTTTGGTTGACTGATTGGGCCAAGGGTAACATGCTTCAGGACTTAGTGATGAGATGGGGAGGGTGCTTTGGGAAATATATGAAGGGGACTGGGATTTGATGAAGGAGAAGTCCCTTAGATCAGGAGGAATTTATGGGGGAACACCATACTCCACTGGCTTTGGGCCTCATCTGAAAAACTCATTTTTTCATCTCTTCCATCCCTGGAGAAGTACTTAAAATATGCCCTTGTTCACATCTTGAAGAGAATACTCTAATTCAAGGCCCTTCTCCTTGGTAGTTTCCCAAAGAATCTCTTAGGGGACAGCAGACAGAGGTTTCTAACTCTGTGGTTGGGAAGATAGGCCTGACTGACGGAGGTCTTCCTGGTCCCAGGGCAGGTTGACAACAGAGCTGGTGGCAGAAGCAAATTCCTTACTTACAACACTTTCCTCTTGGTCCCAGTGGACATGCATCTACCTTGTACTCAAGAAATAGGCACAACTGCTTTCTTTTCTCTAGAAAAAAAATCCTCAACTGTTTCCCGGGTGCTTTTAATAAAGCTGAATGATACCTATCATTAAAAAAAATTCATTATTTATAAGTAATCTTCCCTATTTTCATTTTTCTAATTTCTCAACTCTTTTCATCCTTAATACTTCTATTAGAACTATGTGGTTTACAAAGCATTTTCATTTCAAGTATCTTATTTCTTCCCCACAACCAGCCCTGTGAGGTACATATTACTGATAGTCCTGTTATAAACGAAGAAACAGAGGCAAGGAGCTTTATCACACCCTAAAGTCATGCAGTTGGCAACTGGAGGGCTGGAATCCAGGCCTTCGCACTCCCAGCCCACTTCTCTTTCCTCTTAGATCATAGTCACTTCCTTTCTTCTCATTGTTGAACTTGCATCGTATCTTTGCCTCTCTTGATGTCCTGAGATATTCAGCATCTCATTTCACCCCAAATACCACTCAACTGCTTCTCTATCACTTTGCTTCCTGGCAGATTCTACAAATGTGCTTTTAGAGTCCATCTCATTTTGATTTTAGTGTTCTAGTTGGTGTGCATGTCACTATTTCTCCTGAATTAAACTTCCTGGGAGACTTGATCTTGACTACAAATCTGCAAGGTACTGTGATCACCAGCCTACTTCAGATTCTCCCCCACTCCATTTCTCCCCATATTCCCACAGGGAACCCAGACTCAATGTGCATTGTTCTGGAAGCTTTATCGGCATGCTGTTTTTATTAAAGGGCTTAGAAATGTTCTCAAGGGCTATTATCACTCTAGGAACCCAATCTGTTGCCTTGGTGCTGGATACTTCCCACAACTGATCCTCAACAACACAGTTCTCTAAAGGCCAAGTTAGGCGGAGTCTCATTGTCTCTTTCCTACTGCTTAACAGCCATGAACTTGATTGCTTAACTCAGTTGACCCCATAAGCACTCTGACCTAGTGACCTCTACTGTTAGCCCAGTCTGGTCCATCACAGCCCCAACCCTGTGTGGAAACACCTTGATAGTCGATGCTTGTCTGCACCCCAACCTTCATTTCTAGTCTAAAACCACTATCCTTTATAGGACTGTCCTTTTCTATCCCCACTCACACACCCAGATTTCTTATTCTCTTGAGTTTCTGGTTTCTCCTTAGCCACACTAGAAATGTTAGTAGGAAAGGAAATTTTCAAAGCAGGAATATGCTGGAAATATGTGCAGAGCAGTAAATGGTTCAGACAGTAGCCCTGCCCCCAAAACTACTGGATCCAATTGGAAAATACGCTGTCCCAGTTTGTGAATCCACCAAACACCAGAGGGCAGGCTATGTGCTATAAACTGCTTCTTTGCAGGAAAAAGCAGCAAGAACCAGACACACGTCAGATACACTTACCCTGGTTCCCCTTTCTCAAGTTAACACAGAAATGAAATAATAGAACAAACAAGAAAAGCCTTCCTCTCACTACCTTTTATAAATAAAAGATCTCCAATGCCGTATATTCATCTAATCCCTGCAAACATGTGAATAGTGTCTGCTGTGGTCATCATTCCAGTCGCCCATTCATCCCACACTGCAGCACCCACTGCGTCTGGCACCCATCTAGACCCTCAGTGTGCCCACAGTTTCGGGTCTGAAAAATATCCTCATGCAAGACTTTCCTAACTTCTGAAACTCTACTCTGGTGAGTAACTCATGTTTAGTTTCCTCCTTACTGAGTTTATAGTAGGGCCCAGTGGACAAGCACTTGAAACAAATCTGAGCTACAGAACAGACTCCAATCCCATCGCAGGCCAGCTGAGCCTCAAAGCTGATAACTTGGGAGGGTCACAAACGCATGTGATGGGGGAGACTACCGAGGAATGAGAGTCTGGTTTGTGAAACTCCGTCAAACACAAGTAGCAAACTTAGTTTCTCAGCTGGTGACTCATATTCACACCATCACTTTCACTGCGCTTTTCCTTGATGTTGCACAGCCAATATTTTTCTTAACTCTGGAAATGTTGCTAACCACCCAAGCTCTCGATAACTCCATGCTGGTTATGTAGTGTTTTCCAGAAAACTCCGTTTGTGTCAATAAAGTGTGTTGAACACCGGCTGCTCTGGCTTCCCTCTACTAGCACACAGAGTGTGTGTGTGTGTGTGTGTGTGTGTGTTAAGTGTGCTCCGGCTGCTCTGGCTTCCCTCTACTAGCACACAGTGTGTGTGTGTGTGTGTGTGTGTGTGTGTGTGTGTGTGTGTGTGTGTTAAGTGTGCTCCGGCCCTTCAGACCTTCCAGCCGCATTGATTCCTCAGCTCACAGCCAGTGCATTCATGCCCACAGGATAAACAATAAAGTCAGTGACCTAGAATTAACTATACGATAAACATGTGACCTGGCCTCTCGTGTCCCCTTTTCTTTCCTGCCCTGATACAAAGGAATCCAAGAGTCATTTGTGTTCCTACCTGCTTGACATCAAGTTTCCTACCCAGTGGCAAAGGGCTGTCTGCAAGGGACACCTAATGATGGGAGGGACTGCATGCCCTTACCCATTTCTGCAAACGGCCATAAAGCAAGGCTGGTTCCCTGTGCCCATCTTCCAGAAGTGCCAAGGCCCCAAGGGGGAATGTTCAGGGAACTGTCATCGGGATTCACCCACAGCCCACCGTGCTCTCCTACGATGTCAATAGTACTGATTAACAATGAAGTAAAAAATGACCTTAGGGTGGTGCCAGCCACTATACTAAGAAACACACACATGCACTTTGTATTATCTCTAAAGGACTGAGGTTTGGAGTGATGAATAGGTGACGCAGCTGGTAAATAGTGAAAATGCAGTTAGTACTCTGGCCTGATTCCCAAACTCCTTACCCGTCCCACTTTACCGGGCTGCCTCCCTGCTCTGGGTAGAAAGTCCTCAAAGGTGGGAGGACCTCGAGGCGTAAGGGAGTGTACAGCTGTGCAGACGGGTGTAAGGGAGCCTTTGCACAAATGCTGCCACAGCTGGGGAGACCACACACGTGGGACGAGCACTAATGAATCAAGCAATAAACACACACACACCGTTTATTACTTCAAGTTCAATACTTTTTCTTTTAATTCATACTGTCCTTCCGTGGCTCTAGCTACTTTACATTAAGATTTGCTGGGAAGCCTTGTATGTTTCTAGGTACTAGCAGTGAGGTTTTGGACCCTGCGCACAGCGCCAGGTGAGCACAGTTACAGAGCCAGATCCAGGTGGCCAGACAACACAGCTGCAATCAACCTGTGTCCTTCCCCACCCAGCGGCCAGTGCAGGGGGTGGGGGCTGCTCCCTCAGCCTCACCCCACGCACCCCATGTCAGTCAGCCAGACGCCGTGCCGCCTCTGACCCAGGCCTCCCCACCGTGGAATCTAGGCTGAGGGGTGGTGGGGCAGCAGCACCATGGGTTTGGGAAGAAGCTCTGGTCCATGCAGAGAGTGGCCTGGCCCCAGAGTGCAGCACAGGGAAATGTTCGGACACACATACTGTTGGCAGAAATGACTGCTTGTACTATGCAATCTCAGCACGTGGCACCCCAGCCCGGGGCCAGCTCCCAGACACAGCCCGTTGTCTTGCCCAGAGCAGAGGCCACAGGTTGCTTCTGCAGGTCTCACTGTCTTGGAGAGAAGACAATGCTCTTGATGCCTTCCTGTGTCAGGCGGACCAGGCAGATGGTCCATAGTTTCTCCCAACAGGCAGGCCGGCTGTGGTCAGGCCCCCAGGCTTGCTGAGGACCTCAAGTCACAGCAGGAAACAATGCCCAAGGCCTCTGGGCTGTCTCACAGAATGCAACAGGGAGCTGGCCAGGCCCCCTGCCGGACGGGACGAGGCTGGGGCAGGAGTGAGGTAAGGAGGCTGGGCAGAGAGGGAAGCGCAGCTCTCTATAGCCTGTGCAAATTCCTGCTCCACCTCAGGGAAGCAGGACCATTAGGAGACGGCCTTCCAGAAAACGCTCCTCTCAGGCCCAAAACACCTCTTCTGGAAGAAAGCGCAGAAGTGCAGGAGAGTGGGACCAGCCTGCTGCAGGTGGGGAACGAGGGTCAAAGATGTCAACTGGTGGATGGGACGATTGTCCCACGGCCTACAGACAAGGGTGGAAGTGGGCAGGAGAGGTTCTCCAGTTTTGTACTGGGACAGGCAGGTAGAGCCAGGAGGGGTGTGCAGCCCTTCCGTCTGGGGTAGGAGAGAGGAGTGCTCTTTCTTCTGGGGGTGGGGCAGGGAAGAAGGGCTGGCTTTTTGCTGCCCTGCAGAGCTGAAGAAGCAGCCCAGTATGGCACAGAAAGACTCCTTCTCAGACCACACACAGTCCACAGACTCTTCCTGAGTCCCTTCTCCAAGATTCCACCCAAGCAGTGCTGCCAGTGACTGTAGCAGACACAGTCCGAGCGTGGCTGGGGATGGGGCATGGAGAGCAACCCCTTCTAACAAAGCACTTAATCAGAACCCCGGCAAGGTTAGAGTGGAGCCAAAAGAAAAGTGCTAGAACCAGGAGCGACTTCTCTCCAGTTTCCTCTAGCAAGAAGGAAGGAGGGCAATTGAAAGCCTTTCCAGCCTAGGAACGGAAGACACGGTGCCCTTCGTGCCATTATCCTTTTCCTTCCAGCTTAAAGAGCACCCAAAGGGAGGTCCCTTCCCAGTCTAAGACTAGGCCAGCGAAGGAGGAAACACCATCTTGGGTTAACACTGAGCAATACAGCAAGCCTAACCTCTCTGCCTCCCCCCTCCCCTCCACCAGCCCCTTCCCCACCCTCCACCCTGCATCTTACTGGGTCTCCCTAACCCTCCTAGTTCAAAAGAAAGTTTAACTACTCTTAATTTCCTGGGAACCCAGACCCTGTTCTTCCACTCACCTAAACACCAAGGAAGCTCTAGCCCCAAAGGGAACCTTGAAGTCTAAGAAAGCCTGGCCTTCCAGTATATGGTGTAGCCTCTAAGACAATGCCAAAGCTGGAACCTACATTAGAGAGAGTCTAGACCAGCCTTGTCCTGCTGCAGATGCAGATACCGGAGCTCAGGGAGCACCAGGGACTTGTCCAACAGCAGGGCTGGCACTCAGGTCCCAGTCTCTCAGCTCCAGGCTCTTCCGAAGAGCTTCAAGTTGCTGCGGATGTTCTCCCCTGTACCAGGCGGGTGGAGGCAGGAAAGGGGAGGAGCTACAGACCGATCCTGTTCATTCCTCCACAGTAAGCTGGAAGGGAAGTGTACACCCTAAAGCTGTTCTTCACTTGGTTAGACACTCTGCAAAATCTGTGAAGCTGAGGACAAGCTCTCAAGTATAAACCACGTGAATCCTCACAGAAAGACTACAAGGTTTTACATGAACAAAACCAAGAAGCAATGGCTGGAAGGAATAACCTAAGAGGCGGTGGTTTTGATGTGCCCTGCAGACAGCTGCATGCCCGGCCACTGCACGTGCTACAGTGTTGTTTAGGGGTTTCACTCCCTGACTTCTCGGCAGGCCAAGTGCCCTCAACAGGTTCCTGAATGAGGGACCTAAGCTTTGTATGGGAGTGAGCAGCATTGCTCTTCGAAAATGAGAAAACTGTTAGAACAGCTGCCTCTTACAGGAGATCCGTGATGCTCACAAATGAGGCAGCCCAGGGGCATTTCCGACGGGCACTGAAGCCCCTGAAATCACGAGTGTTCCTTGTGCAGACTAAGTACTGCCCTCCCCGTCACCCGCTCTTCCCTGGAATGGGCCTGACAAGTCGGGAGAAAGCACAGCAACCCTGGAACCAGGGCAGCTCTCATGACTTCACTCCCAGGAGAGAACTTCTTAAGTCACACCAAAGGCCCCGCCTGGGCCCTTTAATAAGTGCATGATTCAAATAAATAAATAACTAAATAAATACGTGTGGAATAAGTTAGAGAATTTACCATTTTTGTCTTTAAAGGTTTCTGGGGATAATGTTGGCTTCTGGTTACTCCAACAGGAAACTTTCTAGCAGTCTGCACTGCTCCCCCTTCTCTGGCTCAGGGCCCAGGAGCCTGTACCTCCCATTCCTGGGCAGGGGTGCGCAGTGGCCCACTGGCCGAGGGGCATTTGCACCTTTCAACTCCTCCAAAGCCTTTGTCCCCTGAGAGTAGAATGATGACATTCAAGCCCTGTCCTAGAGAGGGATACACACCCCTGCCGCTCCCACAAAGCCTCCCCCTGCCTTTCCCCGGGGCACACCAGGGGCACGCACGCCTGCAGTGTGGACAACTTTGTCTTCTCATCCCTCCTCTGTGGCAAGAACAAGGCAGCATTCTCAGAAAGACTGAAAAATCAAAAGCATGTAATTGTCAAAGGTGGATCCTCAGGCCAGTCCGAGAGAAGAATGCAAATAGCTCTTCCTTTAGGCTCCATCACTAATAGAATCTTCCTTTCCTCCACGCCTTCCATCAGGGGGCCGACCAGGAGAGCAAGCAATCGGGAAGACCGCTCCTCGCCAAGCAGGTGCGGCCCCTTCCCGATGGAGAGAAGCCCTGTGAGCTCTACCTGTGGCGGGCAGGAAACCTTTGGTCACTAGATGGAGGAACAGCAGTCCATGTGTGAAGGATGGTGAGCGTGCCCAGAAGGATCCCACAAAGTCAGATGAACGCATGGGTCCCAGGGAGACAGCCCTGAAAGGGCCCTGAATGACACGTGCTCCCAACCGAAAGTCTTCTTCCTGCTCCTCGGTGGTGTCTGAGCACGCCGGCACAGACACGAGAGGTCTTGCTCCCGCTGCCGAACTCCACGGCTGGGGAACTGGGGATCTGGGGTGGCCCCCTTGGGGCAGAGACTCCATCAGGCTTCTCCGGGCCCAAATACACACACCTTGCCAAAGCATTCCCTGCAAGGGCTGAGGTCTTCTGAGGTCTTCCAGGTGTCAAGTGCCTCGGATGGTCGTCTCCCTTGACTGATGTTGGCTCTTCTCCCAGAGTAAACAATGCGGGGCAGCCAAGCTAGTGCTGGGGCACTGGAGCCCACTACTCACGCAGCCTTCTCCATTAGACCCCACAGTCCTGGTCTGCGAGGGCTCTCACTCTCAAACCTGGAAATCCCGCAACACCCCGATTCATCTCGGAAACCAAGCTGACAGCTCCAAGTGCAGGAATCAGAGCCACAGACCTGACTACTTCTGACCACTAGAACAGTTTATCGAGATCAAAAATGCTTCCCCCTGGCTAAGAAACAGCGTGCTCTTAGGGCACAGAGAAAAAATAGGGCTTTAGGCACTAGAAAGTGATGCCTCCTCCAGATCCAGCCTGGGGGAGGACCAGAGAGAAGGGGGCAGGGTGGGAAGGTAGGGATCCCCAGCCCTTATTGGGTCCGCACCCCGCACAGGTTGGAGGAAGGTCAGGGGCTGATCAAAAACACCCATCACGCGCAAGTCCTCGGGAGTCTGTGCCGCAGGGCCCAGACCTGCACGGGCGGCCTCCCGAGCTGCCCGGCGGTCCTCCTCGCCTGCCTCCCAACCTGCGGGCCCGGGAGGGGCAGCCTCACAGGGAGAGTTTGGACTGGGCTCCTGCCCTGGCTGCGTCCTCGTTCCCAAGAGAACCCCTGTGGAAGCATGGGGTGGGGAAGAAGAAATTCTCTTTTATTTTGGAAACAAATCCAAAGGGGATTCGGGAATGAAGCACCTTAAGCAATGCCCCCCGCCCGGAGACTTCTTTTCAAGACTCCGGAGCCTTCACAGGCATGACTTTGGCTCAACAACATTCCCCGTCTCGGAGCCAAGCGCGGCCAGGGGACAGGAGGGGACTGGAGGAGGGGAGGCGGCGGGTCGGGGAGGGTGGTGCTGAGAGGCGGTCCCTGCCCCCCTCAGCCCTCCACGGCCAGCACGGGAGGCGGTCCAGCTCCTTCTCCCTGGTACATAGGCGTGATCTCTTTTTAAAATCTGTATATAATATATATATTTATATTCTGTATATATATATATTTATATATATTTATATGGTCTATGTACACATATTGCACAGGCCTCCTGCCGCCGCCCTGTTCCTGCCTGGTCAGTGGTAGCGGCTCCTCTTCTCTTCGCCTTCTGTTGTGTAGTCACGGGACCTGATGCCGTTCTGAAGATCAATGAGTGAGTCCTTCATCTGTAAGACACGGGACCCGCCCCGCCCGGGGGTGTGCCCTCAGTGGGCTTCTCCGTGCAGCAGCACCGGCCGCACCCGCCTGTGGCAGGTCCCCCTGTTCCAGGGAGCTCCTGGCCCAGGGGGGTTCTCCAGGGACACAGTCTTGGGCAGAGAGGCATGGCCAATTGAGCACTGGGGGCTCCTAGCACAAGGCTTGCTGGGTCCTAATGATCTGTGGTCCTTATATCACTAAATTTTAAGAAGTTTCTCAAAGTGTTCCATTGCTACAAGGAGCCACACCAGACCGCCATGTACTTGACTTGTTCTTGGACTCGTCCCACGTGGTTTCCCCACGAATCCCGACTGGACCGGACTCCTTGGACTCCTGCCTCTGTGCGTTTTGCAGCAGTGTCCCCGCAGCCAGGGACTTGTCCTCTCGCCCACCCGGTAAGGCCCAGAGCAAGCCCAAGCCCTCTCTGGCTCCCAGTCCTTCTCTTCCCGGCCTCTCACATGCACTGCTCACTGCAACCCGGGTCTGCAGTGCATCATGTTCTTGCCACGGGTGCTGAGCAGAGAACTGAGTAGGCTTCTAGCTATGTCTACACCACTGACTTAACCTTAATGAATTTCTTAACCTCCTCTAAGAAACAGTCACATTAACACTGTCAGGTTATGGGGCAGAGTCTAAATGGGGCAGTTCCAGGGGCAGAGTCTTAACTGGCCTGCCAAACTGCAGCACACCTAAACTCTGTCTCTAAGGAAGCCGCTCCGCTACAGCACCCCAGGGCGGACACTCCTGGGTGATGGCTGTCAACTCAGAGAACCTCTGGTCTCGCTGCCTAAGAGCACTTTCCCTTCTGGTTCTTCTGTGTCCTCCGCCTAATAGAGATGAGGGGCCCCTCACTGTTCTTTGCAGGTTACTTTCAAAGGGAAGGAAACAAAGCACCCGTCTGAATCGGACAACCCCAACTTAGGGGGACCTGCCCTGAACCAGAATCGAACCAGGTCACCCAGTCCAACTGCCCCTCCTACCCTCATTTAATTCGTAAGTTCCGTCCCCGTCACCTACTGAAGGGCTCTCAGGGACGGACTCTCAGGCCTTCAGAGCAGCCAGTCCATGACTCTCAGGGACGGACTCTCAGGCCTTCAGAGCAGCCAGTCCATGACTGAGCAGCTCTAGCCCTAAGTAGCCTGCTTTTATCTGACAACTTGAAAATCCAATTCCCCACAAAGCCCAGCCCCCGCCCAGCCCTCTGGAGTTTCACAAGCAGGCTAGCCTGTTGGACCTCCACGTCTACGGTGGTCCTGGCCCCCTTGGCCCGGCCTCCCCCTCTCCTGAACACGTCTTCAGCCCCATCAGCCCCTCCTGATGGGACAGGTCTCCCACTCTCCTTGCTGTGCCATTTACCTGATTTTGGTTAAAAATATCCCTTCCTAAAGGTGGCCCCAAAGCTAAACGTGATACTCTAAACACACTATATGAGATCCTGATGGCAGCATTGAAACACTGTCTCCTTAATTTAGAGCTAAGACCAAACTATGAAGGGAAAACAAAATTTAGTGTGAACGAGCACCTCGCACTGCCATCAGACCCCAACAGCAATTTTATGGAGCAACGACTGCAGTTCCCACTTTATTTATAAGTGAGGAAGCTGAAGGTCACTGCCATCAAATCCCCCGCTCAAGGTCACGAAATTCCTCGGGAGCAAGGTTAGGGTTCTGTCTCTGGCCTGGCTGACCACAAACATCAGAAAGAGACCCCCAGGAACAGCACGTCCACCGCAGCAGAACAAACCCCGGGCCCCCGGGCTTCTCGCCCACATCCAACGGCCCGTTCCGCCGTCTTGGCAACCACATGTGAGCTTTTCACACATGTTCAATTTTTCCGGGGAAGGAAGAAGCTCCCTCCCCCTGACAAAACTAAGCTAATTACTAATTTCATCCCAGAATGATCTCCATCGATAGATGCACCTACGTTTTAGAAGGGCACAGGCAACGGTGCTGGGCGAAGACACCGAGAAGGACAGCCCAGCCGCGCCCCCACGCTGTCAGCGCAGCCTGGGAAGGTGACCCTGGGAGGAGGCTACTTGTGCGCGGGCCGGCAGCGCCGGGCGGGGCGGCATGCAGCACACAGAATTAGAAAGCGCGCTCCCTGGAAAGACAGCTCTCTGCAAAAGGGGGTTCTCTCTTCAAACGTCTTCTGCATGGCACTGGGTGGGCCCCAAATTAATTCTTCTTTCCATTTAACCTACAGCTTTCCTGCTGCAAATCCGGGGGGGTTGTTTTCTATTGGGGAGAACACACCTGTGTCTCCAACAGCCCCCTCAAGGATGGCTTTAAAATTAGAACAATGGGCGGCCTAAGCACAGAATGGATGGAGGAAGAGGTCCGGTGGGCGGTGATGGCGAGCTCGCTTAGGGCACCAGGAAGGAGTTCCAGCTCCAGAAGACCAGGACAAGGAGAGAAGGGGCATCTCACCTGGTCAAGAAGCATCACTGAGGATTTGATGATCTCCCTCCATTTCTGGAGTTCGGTATCGTGGTACTTTTGCTGGGACTCCAGGAGCTGGGCCCATTCTGTGTGAGACTGGGGCAACCTGCGGGGTGGAAGAGGGGGAGACCGCAGCTGCAGTTACACTCAGTGGACTGCCCCGTGCTCCCCGACCCCTGAAGGACAAAGAATCACACCAGAGGGCTCTGTGCTCTGTGCACCGCCCCTGCTGGCCTGTGTCCTGAATTAAAAGCACACTAAAATCACATGCACAGTCCTCGGGGCTTGCTTACAGACTCACCACGAAGGGTTACACCCCAGCCAAGGGCAATGGCGCTGTTCCCCAGGTGACCAGGATGCAGGAGCAAGGGCTCAGTACAAGGGGAGTGAGGGTGGTGGCAAGTGGGGAAAGAGGCCAGGAGTACCTTTCTTGGAGCCGCAGGCCCTGCCAAGCAGTGAGGGTCTGGGTGGTGTACTCCAGCATCCAGAGTTTGTAGAAGAGCATCACGTTGAGGAGGACCAGCAGCACCAGGCTGGGGGAGAGGGGACGGGGAGGCGACAGTCATGAGAGGCCACTGGAGAATGAAGGCTCCCTCTGGGAGCCAGGGACAGCCCCACCCCGGAGGCTGCTCTCCTTGACAGGCAGGTCATGGGAGACACTGCCGTGAGCGAGCACGTGAGCGGAGGGATGCAGCAAGGGGGAGAGAGAGAGAAGCGCTCTGATCTGCAGGGGCAGCCGTGGCAGGAGGGCTGTGGACAGGGGTCGGGCCAGCGCGCTGGGAGGGGCAGGCACACAGAAGTCACCCGGACTCTGCGTGCCTGGGGAAGCCGGGTTCAGATGGAGAGGAAACGAGATGAGAGCGCAGAAGAGCCAGTACCTGAAACAGATCCTAATGGGAGCAGGGAGGAAAAGGGGGAGGAGGCAGGTTAGAAACAGACTTGTGGGGGGAGGGGAAGGCTGCCCTTGAACTGGGCCAGAGGACAATCTCTGAGAAAGGGGCACCGGAGCCGAGATGCACGGGCGGCGTCCAGCTTAGGGGCAGCACAGCCAGCTGCAGGTGGATTCTGGGATCTTGAGGATGATCCGCTGAGGTCAGATTCCCCCACCAACCCTGGCCCTGGCTGGAGGGGCTCAGCTGGTGGGAGCACCGTCCCATAAGCCAAAATGTCTCTGGTTTGATTCCCAGTCAGAGCGCCTGCCTGGGTTGAGGGTTCAGTCCCCAGTTGGGGTGCGTACAAGAGGCAACCCATGGGTTTCTCTCCCTCTCTCTCCCTTCCTTCCCCTGTAAGCGCATCCTCAGGTGAGAATTAAAAAAAAAAAAAAGATTCCTTTAGCAACCCAACATGAGCCACAGCTGGAGGGTGAGTTTGTAAGAGGAACTCAGCGGGATTCCCAGCTCTGCCCTGGTGAGCCTGCCAGATGCTGGCAGGACCGCCCCAAAGCTGCAGCCTCCTCCTTGCACCTCCTGCTGGCCCGCGGGGGCCACTGGGACCACCTCCTGTTTCCCAGACAGGGGCCAGAACTGGTGGGCGTGAGGGAGGAGGCCAGGACAACCCAGGGGTCAGAGGACCGGTGGGGAATGGAGAGTCCCCAAGACAGTCAAGTCTGCTCTCAGCCTCGGCGGCTGCCTAAAAATCATTTTGTGACATTTCCGGGATGAGGCAATGAAGACTCAGGTAAAGATAGGCTGCTACAGCTCCTGGCTCACCACTTAGAAATTTCACTTTTGATCAAATTTGCTAGCTTCTCTGAAACCCAGCCCATTCCACTGGAGCGGGAGAGGTAGCCTGAGAGAGCTGGGGCTGTTCTGGGGTCAAAGGGCTGTTCGAGACACGCCCCGCACACAGCGGGCCCTCTGCAACAGCGGTTACCTTCACCAAAGCAGGAGGTTCAGGTGCACATCAGGGAAAAAAATGACAAAATGGAAAGATAAAAGGAAGAGATGGAAAAAGACCAACAAGGAAAGAAAATCTTGTGCGTACCTTCGACCTTACAAGGTGCATGTAGTGTGTGTGTGTGTGTGTGTGTGTGTGTGTGTGTGTGTGTGTGTGTATGATGCCGAATCTCTCACCTGTGCTTCTAACTGGCCCCCACAAGTCCCTGAGGCTACTGTGCTGTGGTCTCAGGGGGTTCAGTTCTTCACGAGAATCTGCAAATTTTGCGCCAAATGTCAACAATTCTGCCTGCGATCCTATCAGCCACACCCCAGCATCGCAATGCCCATGTTTTCGGTGTGAGCTGCACACTCTCGGCAGCTGCTCGTGGGTCTGTGTGAACAGCCCTGCCTGTGCCCCGTGCAGGTCGTGGGACCCCTGCCCGCTGCTGCAGTGGAGGCCTGGAAGTGGTGGACCGCAGAAGAGGCGGTCACGGGCAGGCGTGTGGTGGCTCATGCCAGCCAGACAAGGGGCGCCGACCTTCACCGTCCGCCCACGCACACGCGTCAGCAGACCCCTCTGGGCCTGCTGGAGCTGACCAACGGGGCCTGATCACCACATGGTAGCAACACCCCAAGGTTTGCTAATACCACACTGTGCAGAGTCGCTCAGGCGAGCAGGCCTCCTCCACTCACATGACTGAAGACACAGAGAGAGGTCAACACAGAACTAACCCACGGCTAGTCTTCTCTGCACCTGACCCAACCTCGGAGATTTAGTTTTAAACAACTTTAAAGTGACCGTGCTGAAAGAGAATTTTACTGGTTTTGCAGTTGTCCTTATATTTAATGTAAAAATAGTTTGGCTTCTTATGGCAGAATTTTACATCTACTTTCTTATTATACGGGTGGGCAAAGTAGGTTTACTGTGGTCCACGCAGAAGACAGGCAGTCAGAGTTGTTACAAGGGCCTCTGTGACTCAGAGAATGTCACGGTGCAGCTGTAAGGCTACTTTTGCCCAACCTGCACAGGCTCCCATCCTCCGGTGGCCCCAGGCTTGTCCTCGGCCACACTGTCTCCTTACCCCTGTGTCCGCCTCTGGCGATCTCACTCATGCTCACAGCTTCCGTGCTACCTGTAACGAATTCCGCACCTGCAGCCTGGACGCTCCTCAGCCCCAGGTCCACACTAACGACTGGCCACCAGTCACCGCTGTTTAGATGACCTGTGGCAACCTAGAGACGCTGGAACTGACAGCACCTCTCTGACACACTCTCAGTGAGGTCCAGGTTTCTGTGTGACGCAGACCACCTGCAGCCGTGGGGACTAGGGAGCCCTCCTCCTTCCCCACGCAACCAGACGTCAGCAGCCTCCGAGTGACGGTCCCTCACTGCAGTCTGGCCGATGCTCTCACCTGCATTATCAATTGTTTATGATAAAATAAGCATATACGTTTCCTGGGCTGTGCCCATGGATCTGCCTGGCTGCCCTGCAAGTGGGGGCCCACCAGGGCACGATCCTCACTCCTAGCACGGAGCAGACTCCCAGAACACCTTTTACAAACAAATGCTCCAGAACATTTCTAGGCTGGTATCTGCACCGCGGTGTAGTAATTTCCCGTCTCTACTGCCCACTGGAAACTGAGTTCCCGAAGGGCCTGGATGCTGGGTGCAGCACTTTCTTCTGAATCCTGGACCCCTAGCACAGAGCAACTGCTGAATAAAACACAGGAGACAAAGCGAAGAGGCGAGACGTGATAGACAGAGCTCTGCAGAGAAAGGTCTGGGGACGACAGTGAGGGCACCTGTGCGCCGCGGAGACCGGGAGGAGGTAGGTGGAAGGCAGGAGTGGCAGGCAGGGGGCGGGGCCGGGGAGCAGAGTGCAGTCCCTTACACACAGCTGATGACCAGCAGCAGCTTAGACACGCTCTGCAGGTGAAAGCCGTTGGCGGTGTCCTCAGGGACGTGCCGGGTCTGCGTGGAACCTACAGGAAAATAGAGAGGCTGTTACTGCCAGTGGCTGATGTGACACTGGTCATGCACAGCACTTCAGGGAATGACAGAGAACCATGCACGATGCTGTCATGGCAACAGTGTCACACCCAGTCTTCCATAACTAAAAGGCAAGATCCTCAAGGCAAGGTCATGGGTTGGGTCAGGCAAGGTGACTACTGAAGTCACTGAACAAGTAAGAAATCAGTAGCGCTCCACGGCTGGGACACACAGGTGCAGGACAAAGGGGGGACTGCACTGCGGTGGGACCAGACACAGCTTCAGCTCCGGCTCTGTCCCCACCGGCTCCAGGACCACTCTGAGAGTCGGTTTATCCAAGTGCAGTGCCATCAGGAATCCTCTGGGGGGAGCTGTGGGAGGGACACTGAGGCCAACGGCTGCACTTCTGCTCTCCTGTCCCACCCAGCTGTGAGGTGGGGAATGGCTGGATGGGGAGAGGGAGACACATCAAGGAACCCACTGCTGGGAGGGCTCACGGACGCGAAGGGAGGGGGCCTGCCTTGGACCGGCCACCTCCAATCTTTGTATGCCAAGGGCATCTCTGGGGTCCAAGCTCCGGCCTTTCCCTATAGCATCTGCCAAAACTCGGAAGGCGCACACGTGAGCCTATCCGGGTGAACCTGGAGCACAGGCAGCACGGGGCCATGAAATCCCCCAGGGCAGGTTTGCTCAGCCAGGCCAACAGGGGCTGAGCAACTTAAAAGGCAAGTGGAAACAGGAAGAGCATCCAAGGCCTTAGGTTTAATGAGCTTTGAGTAAATCCCATACATCAGTATGGGATTCACGAGTGCACACCAGCACAGGCTGCCGCTCCAGCCCAACGCCTGGATACACCTGTCATCCCCACCTGGCACACACCTGCCACGTGCTTGATCCTGCGGCCCACATCTTCATCGGTGGGTGTGGTGACGGGGCTCATCACCTCCTCTAGGTGGGGCCCCCGCAGGTGGGCATGCGGGCGCTTCCTCCTCCGCACTGCTGGGGGCTTGCTGGCCTTCTCCTTGGGAGACTGCCTGTGCATCTCAGCCAGATAGGTGCTCTCCACCTTGGTCAGCTCGCTCTCTGTCAGGGACGGAAGGGCCACACTGAGGGTCCCTGCCCACGCCTCCACCCAGCACCCTGGCCTCCAGAAGCCACTCCATGAACTCCTGGCTGCGTCCTCCATAAGGAAAGCATCCTCTCTATTGCGCTTGGTGGGGGGGAGGCGGTTGACAGGGACGGTGGGGTCCCTCAGGGATGCCCATGAGCCTCAGGGTGTACTGCCCAGTCCACACTCCTCTTCTGGGCTGTTCGCCATTGTGGAGAAACCTACCTTCCTGACCCCAGCATCCACATATACACAACGTGGGACACATCCCATTTCCCGCAGGATGCGTGCACGGGCTGTGTCCTTCCCACAGCACTTATCACCACCCACCAGCGAGACCAGACCTGAGATTTGCTCTGGGGGGTGGGGGGCAGGGGAGCCATAGATCCCTTAACATCTTCATAAAAGTTACAGGCACCATCTCTGGAAAAATGCACGTGTTCACACGCATGCCAAACTTTGTCTCCACTCCTGGGGCTGACACTCACCCAAGTGCCGGAAGTAGTCCTCCAGCCCACTCCAGAAGTTCTTCTCAATGAAGGTCTTCACCAAGCCCCAGGGCTGTTTGCGGTAGCGCAGCTCTGTGGAGACCCTGAGGAGCAGGCCAGAGGTGAGGTCAGACAGGCAAACCTTCCTCTGCTGGGGGAAGGTAAATTCGGGTTCGAGTCCACAGCAGCTTGCTGTCCGTGCTGCGCTTCAGGAGGTGAGCGTCCTTTCACATCCACCTTATCCACAGGCCGCCCTTTGAGGTCTGAGCAGCTAGTGGATTTACCCTCATTTTTTCCCACAACGACCTGAGTTTCAGAGTATTTAAGCAGACCGAAGGCTAACGACAAGGGCCAGAGCTATTTCATGGCGCCCCACTGCCTCCTCCCGGGGGCCTGCGATAGTACCAGAGGCCTGCCCGCCACGGGGCCCTTCTCTCCTCCTCCCGAGGCCTCTACGTCCAACTCAGGCTCTGGATGTCATCGAGCCCACCCTTCGGAGCATCCGCGGCTCCTGGTCCTGGCCTCATCTCTTCCTGCCCATTCTACTCCCCAGGTCCTGCCTTTTCCACACCTCCTCTCACAGTCACCAGTCTCTCTCCTGCCCCAGGTTTCAGCCCTTCCTCTCCCACCAGCACCCCTACCCTCTGCCTCTCCTTAGGTTCACCCTTGCCCGTCATTCTTCCAGTTTGTGCCCCACGCGTTTAAGACCAGCTGCCTTGCCCTCACCTCCTTCCCAGGGACACCACCTTGGGGGGAGCACGCCTCGACCTGCAGCCACCTCACCCCACACCCACCACCCCACCCCATCTCCCGTCCGACAGCTGTGTCCCGGACTGAGGGTGGGCACCCTCTGTCAGGGTCCATCTGAGACAGCAGGCCACCTCTGTGTGAACTGGACAGAAAGGACGCCCATGCACGAGCTCCTCCAGGGGAGCTGGAGATGAAAACCCTGACACTGTGGGGGGGAGAATGGGGGGCAGGAGGGCAAAGAGAAGGGAGGAACAGACAGTAACCAAGGAAAAAAATTATTTTAAGATGATGAGAGAAAGGGGCAGGCCCTCTTGAGGTGTGAGTATTCAGCTCTTCCTGGTTCCCAAGAGACCTCTCTGCAGCCTTTCACGAAACACCCATTATTTCCACGAGTGTGAAGTGACGCTCTGCACCACCAAAAGAACTTGGTCTAAGATGCGGGTATCCACACCAATTCTTTTCAAATGGGTGGGATGTCTGGTGCATGTCTCGACTTTCCAGATTACAGGCTTTTTTTGTTTTTGTTTTTTCACCGATTTTAGAGAAAGAGGAAGCGGGGGAAGAACACAGACTTGCTGTTCCGCTTATCTGCGCATCCGCTGGCTGTTTTTCGCACGTGCCCTGACTGGGGATTGAACCCACAACCTTGGCACATCAGGATGATGATGCTCTAACCAACTGAGCTACCCGGCCAGAGCTCAGATTACAAGCTTCTTAAATTTCAGGGTCTAAATTTCTTCCTTCCTTGAATGCACGTCGCAGTGCCCAGGACAGGACTCTACCCACAAACAGAATCTAATTATTCCCTCGCTCGTTCGGACATTTCTGCATGCCGATACGTGCAGGCTTGTGCTGAGTGGTGAAAATAAAGCGGTGAGTGGGCCGGGCTTCCTGCACACCTCGTGCCTCCTACCAGGATGGGCAGTGGCCGCTACGCACAGTGTGGTGCAGAGGGCCCGGGTTTGTGTTTCTAGACCTGGCTTTCAGCGCTCACTTTGCCTACGTGACCCTCAGCTCTCTTACTTGAAGTGAGAGTTAATCCACCTCCTTTGGTCAGTCTAAACAATGGACTTTAAGCACAGCACCTTATAAACTACTAAGTGGCAGTAGTTATAAGAGTGTAAGAGTATAAGAGTGGTACCAGAGGGACGTGCAGAGCAGGAAAGGGAACCCGTGGCAGAGGCTGTCAGGACACGATGGAACGGAGAAGAACGGATGCGTCGGCAGGCCCATTTCCCAAGCTCCTCCTCTTCCTCAGGAGCAAGCGCATGTTCCCAAATGTATGGTCCCCGTGCACTTCCCGCTGCAAACAGCCCAAGAGCCTGCCCAGCCCCGAGACACTGCACCTGAGACGGCTCTTGTTCCGGGCCACGCGCGTGAGCGTGTAGCGGTTGATGGTGTAGAAGTAGTCGTGGTATGGCACATCGTGGGTGAGCACCTCCGCGTCAATCACGTAGCACTCGCTCTCCTGGCTCGCCTTGTACATGGTCTGTGGGGAGGAAGCCGCTGGACACGGCCCGACAGAAGCCGGACGGGAAAGACCCTCCTTCCCCACCCTCCCCACCTGACCCCCAGCTTCAGAACGGAGGACCCGGAACAACATGAGATGCTGCCATTTCAGGGCTGACCACGCTGGCGCCCAGAAACTCCCTCCCAGCATCGGCCCTGCCTCCCGCACCACGCACCTCCCCCTCGCCTCACCTGCGTCTCCCTGACGGTGGCAGTTTTAGGAGCCAGAGGGTTGGTAAGGGTGATGGTGTAAAGGATCACACGGCTCTGGTTTCCATTCTCTTCCTTTTTCCATGGATGGAAGATGATATCTGAGGGTAGCGGAGAGCCCTGGAATAAGGAGGGAAAGAGGCATGCCCTCCCCACGCTGAGTGCCCCCTCCGAGTGAACTTCTCTGGGCTGCACTGCATGCCCACTGGCCTCCAAAAGGAAGCCAAGGGGACTGAGGGCCAGGGAGGAGGACCGGGGGGCGGGGAGCTGAGGCAGAAAGAGCTTCATTGTGGCAGCGCCTCACGCCTGTGCAGGGCTCCTGAACTCTGACGGCTCCTGGCTGGGGCCAGAAGCCTCGGGGCCACCTACGGGGTGCTGGCAACACTGGAGCCACTGTGATGAGAGCCTGGGAGCCTGAGAACAAGGACTCCCCTCTGAGGCTGACCGCCCTGTGCCCTCGGCCAGCCCACTCCTCCTGGGAACAGGGTCCACTGATGCCCAATTGCTCTTTCGCAGACTCAGATGCTTAGCAGCTGGTGGGGCCGAGCCACAGGGCCCGCTGTGTAGTGAACAGGGGCAGAGGGATGACGCGGGAGCACGAGGCACAGAGCACGGACTCTGAGACCCCTAGACCCGAATCCTGGCTCCGCCTCCTCTCAGCCGTGGGACCTCGGGCAGTTTCCTCTTGGGCATAGTGTGGGTCACAGTACTCGCACACGGCACAGATTTGAGGATTAAATGAGATGAGGTCATGTGCTTTCCTTAAGCAGGTGCCTAACCAGTAAGCGGTGGCTGCTACTCTTCACGAGATGGTGAGCCCTGTAGGGCCCTGGGCTCTCTGAGGCCTGGGGGCCCGGACCGTGTGCCTGGGCCCAGTGGGTGAGCACTGCCCTGTGGCACGGGGGGAAGAAGTAGCTCACAGAGTCCCAACGAAGCTCTGGCACGGAGTAAGGCCCGAGAGAGGGTGCCCTGAGCCATCGAGTGGCCTGGAAAAGGAGGGTGCTTAGGAAGAGAGGGGAGAAGGGTTGGGAGGCGCCAGCCCGGGTAAGAGCAAACCTGAGAAGCGTCGCTGCTCCATAAAGTCCCGCTGGAAGGGTGAGTCGGTGAACAGGAGGTCATAGAGCTTGTCCACGCTGAAGTTGAAAATTTCATTCACGTACTGCCTGCCACTCAGGTCCTCGTAGAAGGCCTGGACCTCCCCTGCACAAAAAGGATGAGGAACAGGCAGTGAAGCAGGGCTACGGGCCCTGAGGAAAGCCCCCAAGCTCTGTGTCTGTGTGGAGAATGTGGAAAGAGCCCCCCCACCAAGATCCAGGGAGACCAGGGAGCCGGGCACTGAGCTCCGTCCGTCCTTCCGACAGGTACACCGTTGACTCCAGAGGCACACCATTCATGCAGCCTTTACGGAGTTTGGGGATGCACTATTTGCTTTGCACTTTTGAGCCTCCCTAATTAAGTGATCTTGGACAGATTTAAATAAACGATCCCTTCTTAAGCTTGCCCAAACCCAGAGGGGCAGTTATCTGGAGTCTCTAAGTTGACCATAAGTGACAACAAATGGCATGTAACTCATGGCAAAGGCCTGTTTGAGCAACAGTGATCAATCTGCAATGATCTGTGTGCATAGATATTTCTCAGAGCCCTGGCTGGTGTGGCTCAGTGGACTGAGCACTGGCCTGGGAACCTACAGGTCACAGGTACAATTCCAGGGCACATGCCTGGGTTGTGGGCCAGGTCCCCAGCTGGAGGTATACGAGAGGCAACTGATGGACGTATTGCTGTATCTCTCACACATCAATGTTTCTCTCCCTCTCTTTCTCCATCCCTTGCCCTCTCTCTTAAAATCAATCAATCAATCAATAAATAAATAAATAAATAAATAAAAAAAAAAAAAAGTTTCTCAGGCTGGGCTGTTCTGCAGGACTGTTACCCCTAGGCCTACCCTCCTCCGCAGAGCATCCAGTTCTCCCACGGTGTCAATAACCTTGCATTTGTGAGAGTTCCCATCTGCTGCAGGAGAACGTATCTGAGGGTACAGGTGAGTTGCCAGAGCCCCAAGTGCTTCTCCTGAGTCCTCGGCACCCCCTGGTCCCCAGTCACTGCACCTGCCCGGGATGCTGCATGATCACGACAGGAGGCTGACATTTCGGGCCCCATCACCCCTGAGGGTGCCAGGGACGACCTCAGGAGCCTCCCACCGGGTCCTGCCCACAGCCGCACAGGAAGGGCGTGGTGGGGGAGCCTCAGCCCCCAGTCCACGTGAATGGCACACCTGCTATCACTCGGGGCCCGACCTGCACAGTCGTTGCACTGGCCCTGACTGCCGGATGGAAACCAGCCAATGGTGAGACCACCACAGCAGGGGCCCCGCAGAGGGGCCTGCCCACAGCCGAGAGAAGGAGCACTGTGTGCACAGGCGCACGAGGTCGGAACCTACCACCCACTCGGGGGCGGTGCTCCCGAGCGAGGTCCCAGGAGCTAACCCTCTGCGGGAGGCAGGAGAGAAGCTCTCCTCTGAGCAACACTGCAGAGAACAGGGGGTCTCCGGAGTCTGCCTGAGCTCTCTTCTCACCTGCTCTGACATTCCTACACTGGAGTCTCTAAAGCAAGTTCCTGTCACAATCTACTTGTTTGCAGGTCGCAGCTAGCGGGTTGGCCTGTCCAGTGGCAGGTAAACATTGCCTGGCCTGGCCTCTGTGTGGGACAGAGCGGCAAGGCCGGTGTGTGTCCATGAGGGGGACGTTTAGTGCCCAGACTGGACAGCAAGAACAGGCATTACAGGTTGAGGAAACAAAGACACACATGGAATGATGAGGTTCATGCAAGTACATTTCTGAAAAAGGAATGTGCATGTTAATAATAATGAACATACTTTTTTTTTTTCCATACTTTTTTTTTTTTTTTAAGAAAAGCTCTGCTACCCACCCAGCCTTCCCCCAGGACCCAGGAGACGGACTGCGATGGCCACGCAGGGCCTCCCCCCTCGCCCTCCCCCACCCTCAGAGCCGCACCTTCGTCGTGGGTGTCAGAAGAGTCACTGAGCTCGGTGGGGATGCCGTCGCTGTCACGGAAGTCCAGGGACGGGGAGCTCACCGGCGCCACGAGCTCCATCTTCTCCTCGGGAATGCTATCCACGACAAGCTCCTTCTCGAGGGACCCGGTGCCCTCCAGCACCTCCTCCTCCAGAGGCAGGCCATCGAACTGCGGTGGGGACAGCGTGGTTACCCGACGGGGAAGGCAGGGACCTGGCCCCGGGAGCCCTCGCGGCCGTGGGGAGCTGGACTCCAGTCCTGCTCTGGGAGTCCCGCCGGAGGCGGGGGCCCTGTGCGAGGCCCAGCCCGCCCTGTCCAGCTTGCCCTCAGAGAGCACGGCAGGCCCCGGGGGCAGACTCAGCTCCCGCGGCTGCTGGCCTGGTCCCGGAGCCGCACCTCCACTGGGATACATCGGCCTGCATCTCACTGCCACCTTGTTTTCTGAGGGGCTCAAAAGGCTTCATAAGCATTTTGGATTCATTTTCCCATTAGCCCTGGAAGGGAATAGATACAATTCCTGACATTTTAAAGATAATCCCAGAGGCAGAAAATGGAGACTTGGCATGAAATGAACAATGATCGCATCGTAAGGCCACGAAGATGGACTCCAGGCCCCGATAGCACAGTCCTGCCTTTCCTGGGGACCCCGTCGCCTGCCAGCTCACCCCGGCCACTCTGCCTCCATCCCACCTCGGTTCCCTCTGTAACCCAGCCTCAGAGGACAGAGAGCCTTCTCACACACTTTTCTCTCTTTCATAAAGTCTAGCAAAGCGGGAAATAAATCACAATGCACATACTAGGGACTTGAAACCATCCTGACTAACTGAATAAACAGGCAGCAGTCCCATAGTCTTACATTCACGTAAAACTCTGCCGTCAGATCAGTGCAGTGAAAGTGGGGAGAGCTCTCCCGGGGGGCTCATCTGGAGCAATGTACTCGGTCAGTTTTCACTGCTCACAGCCAAAGTCGTTACCCGAGGCATGGAGAGCCCAGCCTGGGATCCAGGACTGCGCCTTCAGAACGGAGCAGGCCCGTCTGCTGCACGACACCTCCCTCCACCTACTCCCCAGGCTCCTGTCCCACAGGGCACACCCAGCTGGGCCACGCCGGCCACTGGGGAAGGGGTGCGAGCAAAGGGCTCATGGCCCATACCGAGACGGGGGCTTCGCTGCTCCCCGTGGACGTCAGTGTGCTGTTGGTGATGGACTTCTTGGGCAGCTGCGGACTGGCATCCGGCTTGGTCTCTATGCTGCTTTTGGATGAGCTGTCGTTCACTTCATTCTCTTCCACCGGGATCTCCTCACAGTAACTAGAAACAGACACCATGAGCCCACATCAGCCTCGGTGCACACAACTGGCCTGGGGACCTCAGACCCATCCACGCATCCCAAACTGTGGCTTTCCCGCACCTCGGCTTTGCACCTGATCCTACGCAACTGCCCACCCCTCCCCACCACTGCTCTCCTTTCCTTCCCACCCTACACCCCAGCCCCCACATAAAATGTCTGGCTCCAAACCCACCTCTTCTAGACACCCTCCTTAGACTCGTCCCCACTAAAATAGGACCGTTGTTTGTCATAAACTATTTTCTCCCACTGGTGTCCCATCCCATCCCGACCCGAACACTGGACGAAACACCTGGGCTCTGAGACCACGTTTTCTTTCCCACAGAGTCCCGCACGAGGACAGAGCTCCAGGCGTGAGCTCCCCTCGGGGGCCTGTCCAGATTCTGCATCATTCCAGCCGACTTCCCAGCACTGCACACCCAAGGCGGATGCTCCTTGAGCTAGAGGCAGGTGCCCTTCTAGGGACACTTCAGGAATGTCACCGCACCCCCTAATGAGGGAGAAGTTACCCTCGTCATCAACAGCTGACTTACACTTTACGTGTTACCACACCTGGAGGCATCTGAGTAAGTCATTCATGCGTCTGCGAGATCACCAAATGACACCCACGGAAGTTAAGTGGTGCCGCCATTCAGGGCCAGAGGTCGAGCCTGAGCCCAGGTTTGCACACTGCATGTGCGACGTTCTGTCCTCGAGTCCTGCTCCTCTGTGCCTCTCACATTAGCACCATGCCCCCCCCACCTTCCAGCCTCACGTGTGCTGGTGCGACTTTGCAGCCCCCCTTTCCTCAAGCCAACAGCCTGTGGTAACAGTGCCCCACCCTCCTCCTCACACTCCTGCCTCACTGAACATTCTCTCATGATTTCTTTTGCTGCTTCTTCCTCTTGTTGAGTATTCTCAGGACCAGTTCTTGGTGGCCGCAGCCAGTCCCATGGTGGCTGTCCACTGAACTCCCGAGCGTTTGCCCCCAGCCCAGACTCCCCGGGGAGCTCCGCCCTCACACGCACACGCACACACACACACACACACACACGCCCACGCATCATCTCCCCCTGAAGAACAGTCATCTCAAACTCCAGTGGCCAAAACCAACCTCCTGTCCCTCCCCACAGATTTGCGCTGTCATATATTATCATGTGTCTCAGTTTGGAACGACTCTATCCTTCCTGGTGGTAAATCCAAGAAAACCTTCAATCCACCTTTGGTTCCTTTTTGACCCATCAGAAAATCCTTCAACATATGTCCCTGGTTCTACCTTCAAAATATATTCAGAAACTACACACTCATTGTCATGTCTTCTTCTTTGTTTGAAATCTTTAACAAATTTTCAGTCTTTTTTTTTTTTTAGAGAGAGGGGAAGGGTGGGAGAGAAAGAGGGAGAGAAGCATCGATGTGAGAGTAAAACATTGATCAGTTGCTTCTTGCTCACCTACCACTGGGGACCTGGCCCACAAACCAGGCATGTGCCCTGACCAGGAATCGAACCAGCAAGCTTTCGGCTCACAGGCCAGCAGCACTCAATCCACTGAGCCTCATCAGCCAGAAAGGGCTCATTGCCTTTTCTGCTGTTACCCTCCTGGTCCAAACTACTATCACCTCTCATCTAAATGATCTAAATTATTCAGTAGCCTCTTGGCCAGTCTGCCTGTGCTCCCCTTCAGTCCACTGGCAACCCAGGAACCAGACTGATCCTGTTAAAATGTTAAATCAGATATTATCAGTTATGTACTCAAAGCCTTCCCATGGCTTCTCAGCCTGCTCTGAGTAAAAGCCAGTCATCATCACATTGGCCTAGAGGCCCTAGTGTCTGCCTCCTGACCTCCCCTCTGCCCACCTGCCCCCTTCTCAGTGGCTGGGCTCGTGTCCCCTCTGCCAGGAGGCATCCTTGTGGCTTCCTCCCTCCCCCGGAGGCCTGCACTCAGCGTCCCTCCCCAGCAGCCTCTGCTGCCGACCCAGCCCCCCAGGAAAGGCCCCCAGGCAGCCCGCTCCACCCCTCTCACCCCATCGTGTTGAAGTCGTCGTCGGGAGGCACGTAGTCCTCGTCGTCACTGGTCAGGCCCAGCTCGTTCCCGTAGCACTGGTGGACGAAGTGCCAGAGCTCCTTGGGGCACAGGGGCTGCAGGCGACAACAGAGATGCTGAACCTGCTTCCTTCGGGACCTCGCTCCACCGCGTGGAGGTCAGAACAGCCACTGCACTCTGCCTGCTGAACTGAGCAGGACCAAGGCCTCGGTGGTAGCCTTGCCCTCCTCTCAGGGGCTCCACAAGACACCGCGCCTCTGCCCGAGAATAAGTGTCAGCAAAGCCACTGTGCACACAGCTCAGGTTTCCACGTGGGACCACCCGGCCTCCGGGGATAGTAACTGCCCGCTTTTCGCTGGCGTGGATGCGGTCCCGCATGGAGCGGTGTGAAGAGGTGCTAATGTGGAGCAGGTGATCACAGAGCTTCTGACCAGGATGCGGAACGGGCACCAGAGAGCCTCTGAGCCAGCCTGGCAGACACCGCAGAAACCCCTTCAAACTAACCGAGGCCAGGCAAACCCACTGCATCGCATCCCAGAATGCGGGCGGCCCCACAGGTGGCCCGTTGTGCGTAACTGGGCCGTCCCTGCGCCGAGAGGCCCGTGTTCTCAGTTTGGGGGTCTCAAAGGTCACTGCCCGGAACCTCTCCCGACTTCCCAAATGCTTCCTTACTATCCTCTATCCGGTTTGCTGACAGCTCCGTGTATCACTTCCAGTTTTTCCTATGTCACTGGGTGTCTACATTTCCTTTTCAAAAGCACCGTCCTAACAAAAGTTAGCCCTCGTGAAGTTCAAAGTGTTGGGAAAAAGGCAACAGAACGTCAGAGAACTAAGACCAGAGGTGGAGAACAGGAGCATGTCTTGGCTGCGGAGGAGAGTAGAAGGTGGCAGGGATAAGTGTGTGAAAAAGAACGGCAAGAGTGTAAACACAAAAGCAGCCAATATTGTTAAAAAACTATTCGAACTAGCCAATCTACGCAGCTTAGCCTGCCTACCCTGCCTCATCCCCACCCCTTCCCGGGAAAGCACATCGGAAGCTCTTGCCCGATCCTCCCCCAGGCCCTCTGTGCCTCCCAACGGGCCCTGCGTGCTGCGATGTGCCCCTGCGTGGGGGGGGGGTCTCGTGGGCCTGCTCCCCAAGGCAAATCTAAACAATGTTTCCCACCAACGGATTTGATAAAGAACTTGAGGGCTCTCTGAGCCCATCGGCTGAAGGCACAGTTTAAGAAGTAGGCGCCGTCAGGATGCCGAGAGCCAGGGTTCTAGAACCACACAGGCAGGGCTCCCTCTGAGCCGCCTGGGCCGGAGATGGCCGCGCCGTGCTGGCCCTCACAGTGCCAGCGGCAGGCGCTGCTTCTCTTTCATCTGGACCTCTCTTCCCATCTCATGCACACCGTTAACCCTGCCTGGGCCACGTCCGCCTCTCTGCCAAACCCTCTCTCTCCATCTCAACAATCCACCTCCTCCGAGCAGCCTCCCCCGACCGGTCCCGCCGGGCTCAGCGTGACTGCCCGCAGGTGCGGGCAGCACCGTCAGCAGGTCGCCCGGCCCGTCGGGCAGAACTGTTTCAGACTCCTCGTCGGAACTTTTGTGAACCTCATGAGCGACGCTGTTTCACGCAGAAATGACGGTAGTTGTGAGCTGAGACTTCAAACCTGCCAGTGGGGACTCCAACACCGCGTCACTTCCCCTTTATTGTGGCTGATAAAGGCAGACGAGCTCGGCCCAAAGAAGTCACCAGGATTTATGCCCGGGCTATATAGACATTCACCTTGGCAACAAACTCTTCAAAATAAATCTGCTTAATTTGATTTGATTTAGAGAGTCTTATGTTTGGGCTACAATCAAGGCCGATACACTCACAGGTACTGTAATTGTAACTACATTATTTAATTTCTTCCCTCATGTGTCTTTCTCCGGCTTGGAGGCTGTTCTCAGTACCTCACGGCCTCTTAGCGGGACCCTCTGGGGGCTCCGACTGTGACACCCGCTCCACCCCCACCTCTTCACAGCATCCTTCACCCCGTGAGTGGCCGTGGCGCTGTGTCACATCTGTCTTCCTGGGCTCTCTACCCCTGGTGCCCTGGCAGCCGAGGCCTCGCTGGCGGGAGCACCTGCTCCCAGGGTCAGCTAGTTCCCAGAGATGGAAAACTCCCCTAACAGTGCACCTGTCACGCACAAGCAGCCAATCCAGAGCCCATCCCCAACCTCCTTCTTATCTTGTCTCCCACTCCAGGCCAACATCCCCCTGCCCTTGTCACCCTAGGGACAGGTACCAGGCAACCAGAGACACAGTGTCTGTGCCCCAAAACCCTGCTCAGTTGCTCGAACTGGCGAGTCCTAAGTCTGCTTGGCCTGCCTACCCTGCCTCACACCTCCCCCACCCCTGCAAAAACCATGCTGGAGGCTCTCGCCCAAGCTTCCCCCAGTGTCTCCGTGCTCCTCACAGGGCCCTGCATGGCCCATCTGTAAGTTCAGAAACGCACAGCGTCATTTCCCCATCCACACGTCTCACCACACCCCATTAAAACAAGTCCTGGCACATCTGAAACGGTGCGCTGAGCACCTAGAGCTGACTGGGACCCTGCTCCAAGGCCGTTCCCATGGAGACAGGCTCCTCCCAGGGCCCAGGTCAACCCCACTGGTGTGAGGGCTGAGAGGACTTTCGGAGGCCCTGGGACAGGCCCACGCCCCAGGAAAGCGCAGCCCTCCCCCCACCCAGGGCCCATGCCCAGGGAGAGAACACCCAGGCTGGACACACCTTTTCCTCAGGCCGAAGAAGTAGCAGGGAAGCACCCACCTTCTCAAGGAGCGCGTTCTGCCACAGCCGGAACATCATCATGTACGTCCTGTCCCGCGCCCCGAATGAAGTGAAGAAGTGCTGCACCAGAAGGGAAAACGCAACAGGTGTCGGTTAAGACCCAGACGCAGCGAATGAAGTCACGCTGCTCCTCCCACTACTGACGTCACCGGCACCTACGGCCGACTCTCAGTCACCCACACCCGAGGCACAGGCATGCCAGAGGTGAGGACCACGGAGGTGCCGCAGCCTCAAGTCCCCATTGGGCCTATGTCCTTCCAGAGTCACCCACTTCCTCTCCATGTTTGAGGCTTTCATGGCCACAAATCACTTCCTTCGCTGCCTGCTGGGACTGGGCATGTGGGGGCTGAGCCAGCACCAGGCGGGAGAAGACCACCCTCACCCACTCGCCCCTTCATTCAGCGACACAACAAGTGCTCTAACACTGGCACGCGCTGGGCACTATTCTCCACGTTTGGGCTGCAGCACAAACCAAGTGGAAGGAGACCCCGTCTCTCACCTCGGTCCAATGCTCCCCCCATCAATGCACTCGAAGGGCAGAAATAACAGGTGGGGGACTGGGGCTTAGAGGAGGGGGAGCAAGGCCCAAGATGAGACCCTGCTTACCTTTTCTGAATCGGTGCAAACTTGAATGGCATTGGGAATGAGGCGAGCTGTTTTTTCTTTTGTCATGGAGCAGATGTCCTTTAAGCGGACAGTCAGCTGGCGTGGCCACCGGGACAGAGAGGGGATTGGAAGCAAGAAGGGGTGTTAACACGGTCAGGTGAAGAGGGTTCACGTGGACCGGTCCAGACAGAGGAACCGGTGTGTCTACGTGTCTTGAAACCTCCTGAGACCCCCTGGTTCACCCCTGACCTTGGAGGGCACAGGGAGGTGGGGCCCAAGCCTTGCCTGGAGACCACAGGTGCCTTGATTCGTGGTCCAGGAGCTCCTGCTCACTTCTGCACCGTCTGATAAAGGAGCAGAGGTCCCATTACAGTGTCACTTACAGCAACACGGGGCAGTAGCCCTGGATGGGACCATACAAGTTGCCGTCGCCTAGTTTATCTTTTCCCACTGTGTTTTACTAGATGAGGAAACAGGCAAAGAGTGTGGGACGAGCCTCAAATCCCCCCGCTAATTATTAGCAGCAGGATCCAGAGAGCACACAAGCCAGTTCCTCCGAGTGCTGAAGCCAATACCCTCTTCCTCCGCTACCCTGCCTTCTGAGATGCCGCCTGCCAAGTCTTTGCTTTCAGCAAGTGCCCTCACACTCTTTTCTACACCCGGGTGGGTGGGAGGGGAGGACAGGGTAGCGGGGATCCAGCCTTCCAGACTCGGGCCTGTGCTTTTGCTAATTACGCAAAGGCTGGGTAGAACATGAAGTCAACCATGGGAAGAGAGAGGGAGGCCGCAGCCCAGGGGACAGCCCACGGAGCGGCCCCTGGTCTTTACCAGGGTTTCCCAGCGGAAGATGTTGCTGTAGAAGCAGATCCAGTTTTCAGAGAGGTAGAGTCGGCCCTGAAGAAGAATGTCTCTTTGGAGTGCACACGAGTAATCTGTGGGGCGGGGAGGGGGACAGAGCTCAGAGGCAGGACGCGCTTACCGCACACCTCCACACATGAGGCCCGCCCTCCTGTCCACCACCGCCCAGGGGTGTGTGAGCGCATGGCCGAGGGAGTCCCTAGCATCTCGCCATCAGGAGAGTGAAGGGCGTGAAATGCACGGCTGCCTACAGGCAGAGGCACAGCCAAGAGAGCAGAGGAGCCAAAAGGCCCCTAGAACCACAGGCCCCCCTCCCCAGCCCACAGCGGCCCCCACCCGTCACTGCTGAGCCATCTGCAGAGAAGGGTGGGAGTGACACCGGCCACTCGGGGCTCCCTCGAAGCCACCAGGCATGTGGTGCTTGGCCCCGAGCCCCAGCCACGGGGTCAGTGCTGTGGACAGCCTCCCTCCCTGTCCCCAGACGGACGTCCTTACTGGAGGAGCCTCTGGGGAGAGGAGGCCTGAGTGACACCCCAGGACTCCCAGACTTCCTCGGGGGCCCCGACTCCCACGCCACCCGGCTCACCAACAATGAGGCGCTCCGTGTCTGGAAGCTGTTTAAAGAGCTTTCTGAAGTCTTCATTTCTCTGCTTGTAAGTGGGGCTTAATACCTGTGTGACAGTGGACACGGTTAGTGGGGTGTCCTTGTTCTGGGCGGTGGGGAGGAAGGGGCAGCGGGGCCACCTGCCTACGTGCTTAAGAGGCAGAGATGGGGCTCATTATCCCGCAGACCCTCAGAGGCCCGGGAAGGCAAAGGGGCCTTGGCACGGGGAGACCACTGTGGAGAGAATGTGATACTGTCTCAGGCTTTGTAACCAGTGCCCGTCAATGAGAAAAGTCAAACCACCACTTAGCAGGCCCACATGAGAGCCCAGGAAGACAGAAGAAGGGGGTCACCTCCAGAGAGTCTCCTGCCCCCTCCACCATGTCGGCTGTAGCTGCTCTGCCTTCTACTGGCAGGAGCACGACCTTGACAGTGAAGCAGGGGCCCAAAGGGGCTGCCCCCCCGCCCCGGCAGGACTCAGAACATCATGGTGCCCAGCACACTCCCCAGAAGAAGGTATCATGACTAACAGTAAGCACCTGCTGTGTATGAAGTTCATGGTTGGGAAAAAAAATAATAAAACATAAGATTAGTACAATGTTATATGCACCGGTCATATCACAAGGAGAATTCTACTTTTCCGAAGACTGTACTAACCAAAGTCACAAAACCAGTACAAGGATAAGCACCCAGTAGAGAACTTAAAAGTGCATCTGGCAGCAAGAGGCATCCAAGCTCATTCCCTCACCATCCTTTGTGAGATCATCTAATCCAACCCTTATCACTGAGGAAACTAGGGCCAGAGCGAGGTCTCCCCTCGCCCAGGGTCCCCCAGCAGGTCCACAGCAGATCTCTCCGCCGCCGCCGGTCCCATGCTCACCTCCCACCACCGCCTGGGCCTCCAGATGCCCCGTGCCAGCCTCACTTTCGGGGGCCTCCATACAGACTGACACGCGTTAACTATCCTGGCAAATCCTCCTTGGAAATACTGGGTTGGCCAAAAAGTCCGTTTAGTTTTCTCCGTAAAATAAAAGACACATTTTCCCTTTTCACCAATAACTTTATTGATGTGGATACTTTGAGTGTGTTGACCATTTCCCACGTGATATAATGATTGTTCTCAATTAACGTCTCGATTTGACTGCTGTCAACTTCAGTTGGTCCACCCGACCATGGAGCATCGTCCAACACAAAATCCCCAGCACGGACTTCGCAAACCACTTCTGACACATCTGACCAGTCACAGCACCTTCTCTGTACACTGCACGAGTCTTTTTTTGTGTTTCAGCTGCACCTTTACCTTGCTTGAAATAATAAAGCACAATACACCAAAAATTTTGTGTATTTTCTTCCATCTTCAGTAGTAAAATGGCTGCACAGAAATTCACCTATTTCAATAAATTATTTTAAATGCACACTGATATGACACCTGTCATAATACAATCTAACAAAAGTGTTTCAAATGACGTTCACGTCAAGTGCTACCAGAGTGCCATTGCGCAGCAAAAAAACTAAGCAAAATGTTGGCAACCCAACACCATGAGCCAGTCGGAAATACGAAAATCTTGCTCCCTCCAAGCTCACAATCTGAAAAATAAACAACAGTGCCCTGCAGATGAAAGGCACCAATGACGGTAACAGTGCAGGGAGAGGCGCCTGCACTCCACCCGGCAGACGGCCGACCTGCTTCTCACAGGAGCACATGTGAGCAGACAGGCCGTCCAGTGACTTGACGGGGGCCAGATACACCCTCTCACCCACTGTCCCAGGGACCCCCGGCCTACAGCTGTGCGACCACGGTACGGGCTTTCGAACCTTCAGTCTTGGTTTCTGCAAAGCAGAAAGGCCACGGGGAAGCACAGGCGCAGCCCAACAGCACTCACAGCGCGCGCTGACGGCCTGAGCCCCGAGGCCCAAGGCTCCCGTGTGGGCACAGGAGCGTCCCGGGAGCTTGGAGAGGGAAGAGAATGCTTATAACTGCTTTCCCTTGAGTTGATTTAAATTTTAAACTTTTGCTTTGGCTTGCTTATAAAAAGAGTTTTATTGCCACAGTGGATGCCTGGCTACTACCTCAAAGGGTTCTGCTGTGTTGCAGAACCCTAAACTGTGAATAGCACCTGCCATGTGTTTGAACCAAGTATTGGGGGTGACTGGAAGCCAGCCAATCCTACAATTCCTGTGGCCAGAAAAGACCCCAGAATACATGTGTCTGGCCCCTATTTTACTTCCACAGTGACCCTGAGATAGCCGCTCTCCACGGCTGTCTGGCCCCACAGGACGGAGACCACACACTGAAGAGCCCAGCTAGACGCTCGCTCTGTTCCCGACTACTCTGCGTAACCTCTGGAGCGGCGCCCAGCTGCCAGGGATGCGTCACGGCCACCCCCTCGCATGCCGCGGGCCCCTCACAGGCAGCACTCCACCTGGCTGCAGGGTGTGGGTTACCCCATCTGACACGTGAGGAAGCTGAGGCACAAAGGACTGGAGCCACTTGCCCAGAGAACTGTGGTCACTACGTGGGAGTGGGGACTCCGCCTCCAGGCAGTGCGACCCGTCACTGCACCTGGCCTCAGGGCTACAGCGCTGGGTAAGGGCAGAACAACAGAGATGCCCCGCCCAGACGCGCTCTCTTGGGGATGAGACATTCACCTGCTTGGGGCTGCCCACAGCCTCCCCTGCCCAGAGGTGGGTCTTTTGGTGGGGGGTGGGGTGGGAGACAATCTAATCCAAGACTTACACTACTGAGGAGGAAATGAAGTCAATCGGGAGCCCCCTACACCCTCCCCCCGTAATAGGGTTAAGTGGGGATGACAGGGCGCACGGGCCTGTCGCCCAGACACAGACACTCGAGGGTGCACACTCACAGCTGGGACGTCCTCGGGTCCACACCAGCAGTGGAACTGTGCCTCGGCAGGGACCCCCGCAGCCTCCCTCAGGTGCCACTGCAGAAGCCGGTGATCCTGCTCCAGCAGGAGGCTGGAGAGCACCCCAGATTCCGCCAGAGAGTCCATTGCTCCCCGAGCTACACCCCTCACTGGAGCCGAGCAGCTGGAGCTCTGTTTCCCCGCTGCCCCTTGGGATGCAAACAGGTGCCCAGGACGAAATGTAGCCGGGTGACCCCAGCTCCGCGGCAGTGTCCACGTGCCCCTGGGGGGCCTCCTGTTCTCTCCTAGAGCTCTGCTCCCAGCAGTTTCACAGGTGGGCAGGTGTGGTCAACACGATTCTTGGGACGGACGTGCTGGCCAGGCTCCCATGGCCGGTTGTGCTTCACTCCGCTCGGCCCCCACAGTGTGTCCAGTCTTCAAGCCAAGAGTGACCCAGAGGGGACGGAGTAGAGCCCCTCCTCCTGGTCAGTGGGCAGAGCCACCCCGAGACACAGCAGAGCCAGAGGAGGAGTCCGCAAGGCAGGTGCACAGGGCTAGCTGAGGACTCGGAACGGCAGGCCCCAGGTAGACAGGCAAACGGCACAGGAGACTGCCACCCCACAGCTGAGTCCAGAGGTCCACCCCACAGGTTACTCACACACGGCTGAGTGGCTCATAGCTGCTCTGAAACTCCAGGGAAAGAACCAGCACCCGGCCCTGCAGCTCTGTCTGGCTGTCCCGTACGCAGCCCATTCAGTGTGCAATCTCTACTCTAGGAGGACACGGGTCACTGTGACTCACTGCCCTGACCCGGCAGAGCAGTCACCAGTGCCTCTGGCAACAGAGCCTGAGCCCAACCCAACCCCGCACACACCCCTTTCCTCCACGGCCTTATTCCTCTCGGCTGACCAGCAAACAACTTCTTTGTCAGAGTCGCCGTGGGGGCAGGGCGGGGGTGGGGGGTGGGGTGGTGGTGGAGGCAGCACGGGTGGGCGGGCAGGGCCAGAGCCCTGCACATGCTTCATGTTACAGAGTCTGCTGAGAGTGCTGGCCAACGTCCTGTAGTAACCCTGGCCTGGCCTGGCCTCCAGCAGATGTTTCCTGCAATGGAAAGTAGCTGGTCTCCATGCCAAGTGGGGGAGGGGGTGTGAAGGTGCCGGGGTGCTGCTGTTGTGATGAAATCTGAAGTTTGAGAGACGCAAACAGCCAGGGACTCCTGAGGGACACCCTCTCCCCTCACTGATCCCTGCATTCACTAAATTCCCAGCAGCAGCAGCAGCAGCAGCAGCAGATTTGGAACTTTAACTCCTCTCACTGCAGACGTGCTGCAGGGAGAAGGTGAGGCCCACCACCCCCGAGGCATCAACTTCCTTTCCAGAGGCCCTGCCCTGCCTCCAGCACTAGCAGTGAGGAATCAAGGCCAGGAGGATTCCTGGGCAGCGCCCAATGCAGGGTAGCCGACATCTCCGGGAGAGGAACAGGGCCAATGAGGGCAACAGGAGCTCCTGATGGAGAAGCCGGGCTGGAGACCCCCGCACGGGCGGGGAAGACTTGTGCTCCCTGGAAGGGCCAGACCTTTGAAAGTAACAGGCCCCTTCTGCGCCCTAACCTAGCAGTGCCCACTGTGCCAGAGGGTCTCACACCTGCTGGGATGACGGCTGGCACCTGTGTCCCAGGAGCCTCAGCGCTGTGATGCGCAGCACTCAGACCCTCCTGTGCTTAAAGACGACCCATAAATGCACTGAAAGTGAGGATTCTTGACTCCCAATCCCAAAGACTGGGGCTCAGAGGAGCCTGAGGTCTCCCGGGGGGAACAGTGCTGGAAAGAGCAGAGGAAAAGTCTGAGTCCTTCTGTGGACCCCTGTACTCCCCTCTCAGCATACAACCTACCCCCCCACCCCCGCTGGGCCTGGCTGGGGCCTCCCTCCATCCCACCACCACCTTCTCCAGGGAGGGTTGACGCCCAAATGGCTTCAAAGCACCTACAGCATCCAGCGTGGTTTTGTTTCAACTGTCGGTTGCTCAAAAACACAGCACGAAACAAGTGTGCTCCTCACCGACCTCAAACGCCGTTCGTGCAGACCCGGTGCCTCATGTGCACCCGCCCACAGGCTTCCCAACGCACAGGCGTGGGCTCGGGGTGCCCAGACCCCACCACGCCCTCTTGATCCAACACTGGAGCTGCTCCCTGCCCTGCGTGTGT